CTGCTTCTGTGAAGCGTTATGTTTTCCTATGACCACAAATGTTTAGGACTTCTCTCCTGCACCTCACACTGAAAGCAGCACATAGCCAGTAATACAAGGCCTGTGTCACCAACAGGGTATTTTGATTCAATAGCTATTCCCTGAGCAAGGTTCCCATTACAGGTGTTTATTGGAGCTTATTCAACAGCTGCACTGCCTGCAGCATAACAGTCTCCTGCTCTGTCTTTTAGATCCAGGCTCTCTGTGCTGGGTGCTATTGACCAGGCTATTTATTAGTTAAGTTACAGGTGTATTTCTTTATAATGGAAAGTCTGAGTGAAATAATTTTCATCCTGTGCTAGGATGAAATTCAACTGGTAAGCAAAATGCTGTGAATTGTGATAGCATACATGGCTGTTAACAGGAGTCTTCTAAGGTAGGAATGTCTGGCTGCCTTCCAGTTCACAAGTGACTACACAATGTTTCAGGGTTTGGGAACCGACATATTTTCCTTCATCTCATCATCTCCTATTTCTGCTCTATGTTGTCTATACTTATTGAAGGCTTAATAATTTGGTTTTGTTGTACTGGTCCAGCAATCACTAAAAAAACACAAAGTTCTTAGTGGTCTTTGATAATTTTAATGAATTCATGTTTGATGCTTAGAATGCATGAAAAACTTTTAGTATACAGATTCTAATTGTGAGACTGGTATTTTGTTTTGATAGCAATGTTTTGGAGTGAGGGGATCTCATTCTCCAGGACCTTGCATGCTCCATGGTGATTTGCAGTTGTGCAACATGAGGAATATGCTGCCAGGGTCACGTATCCACCTTGTCTAGCTAGAATTCCTGACTGTGCTAATCTAGATAAGTGTCTTAATACAGGTGCATCAGAAGAAAAATATTTTCTTTATACAGCTTTTCTCACAGTGGAAACCTTTTTCTGTAAAGCTCTGCCTTCACATCCTCTTGTGCAGGTTAGGATGAATTTTCATAACTGTAACTGTATCCAAGCTAGAAACTCTAGCTACCACCATAATGTTCTTCAGAAAGTGCCACATTTAACATATGTGCAGCATACCTACCCCAACACAATGGTAGGGCAAAACTTTCCACTTCTTGTAATCACAATGTATTACTCCCACCTTTATTAGATGCAATAGAAAACAGGTAGTAGAGAATGATTGAAACGGGCCTTTTGAAGTTTTAAGCACTATATTAACATCAACTGTTGGAGCAGAGTTATTCTATGTGCTCAGTTGTGATTTATAGATGCAGCTGGGATGTGTAAAGTGATTGCTCTGCACTGAGACAGCCTAGGAAGAATTCAAAAATCTCCATGTGTCAGCAGCCTTGAAAATTCATAATCAAGATTTAAAGGAGCTGGCTCACTGATACGTAATTTTTAATAAGTATTGGCATTTAAGAGAAAGTACAGAAAACTTGAAATTAGCTGATAAGTTGCTTCCACTTAGGTCCGCTGTGATGACATGCATGTTTTTAGGCTGCTCAGGATATCATTAATGAGCAGAAAAATGGAAAAGAATAAAAAAGTGGCATCACAGAAAAATAGATATTATCCAGCAAGTCTTGTTCCACATAGTGATAGAGTTCTAATTTAGTGATTCTTTAAGTTAGGAGATAAAGATCTAATGGCAGGATAGGTGAGATGCTAATAAGTATCAAGTTTAAATGAAAAATTAGTTGTGCATTTTAAAAAACAAATCTGATCAGCGGTTACAACAACCAGTGAAGGAAAGCAACAGCTTCATGACCCACTTGAGCGACATCTGGACTATTTTTACTGTCCACAGTAATTAATGGATATCACTTGCACTGCTTTTAATTAATTTTAAATACCTCATGTTGCACAGTCATCTTTCATTTATGTTAACCAGGATTTAGTTTGGGCATCAGTGGAGTTCACCCATGAAATGAAAGACCAGTCAGGCCAAAAGCACAAACTTAAGCCCCACTTCAGCCACTTTACTATATTCCTACACAATACATTTAATTTCATCTCAGCTTTCATCTCAATGTCCTTTTTACTCATCCTGTGTGGTCTTGGTCTGAAATATACTTAAAGAATATGGTGCTTGTTTCCTACAGCAGCACATTTTCCTGCCTTTCTGTCCTGAATCCAGTATTTTTAATACAAATATATATTTTGAAAGTGTAGCTGAGCTACTCTGATCTTCACTGGATCTGGAAAAACAAAGAAATACTCTGACAGTTCTGTCATTGTATATATCATTCAAAAAAGAGATCAGTGGAGAAATATGGGATCATCCTCTCTTTGGCTCTGTTCCTCTGTACTTCACATTCCTGCCTTTAAACCATTCCTGGCAGGACTGTGTTGCCCCACCTGTGTGAGTGACAGCACTCAGAGCCTGTGCTAGTGACAGAATAGGAAGGCTGGCATTGCTTGCTCTTCTCCTTACATTAAGACTTTGTCACTTATATATGCCAATATCCTTTGGCATATTCATGTTTGAAAACATCTCTAAATACATTCTCTGACACTCTGCATGTAACCAGTGCGACTGGCAAGGTGCTGAGAACTGTGTAAGGTTCTCTCCAAATTAAGTTGCCACCTCTGCAGTGGCTGGAGTAGCAGTGCCATGCTCAATCTACATTAACCTTTGTATGGGTGACACCATAGCCCGTAGTATGTTATTTCTTTCTTCTTTCTGTGTCATTTCTTTGAGGAATTATGCGACGGAGAGGACTGGAATACTTTCTAAGCATTTGGTTAAGTTACTCTCTGAATCAGGGGCAGGAAGAGGTCAGAACCCCATAGAATCCAACCCCATAGTGTAGGAAGGGCAATTCAGGGTTATAGATAAGGTTGCACCCACTGAACAAAATATTAACCAGTGCAGTAAATGTGCCTTAACATGTACTACTGGAATTATGTATCTGTTTAATATAACACTGTAACTATCACTAAAAACACTTTGGAGAAGAGCTCCTCTGTAAATTACTCCATGTACTGTGGGGTTTTAATTTTGGTTCATTGTTGAATTGATTTGATATTCACATAATGATATGGCTGTATTCTTTGACCTAGATTTTAGATCAAAAATATTCTTCATCTAAATATTTGAAAGAAATGTAAATTATTACTGTGAAAATCACAAAACCAAAAAGCATGCAGTAAACCTGTGGCTTTGGTTAATACGCTTACTTATATAGATGTTATTGTGAGAATTTTGAATAAACTGTTAATACATAATATTCAGTTTCCTTATCTTATAACCTGGAAACTTCATATTGGGTTTTTATGATCCTTTGATAAAGGAGCTTTAGGCATCTTGGAAGGATGTGAAAGCATCCTGCAGTATAAGTGAGCAATGATTTTTTGGTTCAAAGCTCCTGTACAGAAGGCGTAATCTAATCTTACATAAAAAATCATATGCCAAAACATTTAGTATTATCCAGCTAACTGACTGTGTAATGTTAAATGTTGGTCTTTTCAGTTTAGTTTAGAGTGATATGTGTACACAGAAAGATCTAAATAGATCTGAAAGCTTACTAATGGCAAATTAAACATATTCTAAGCATTCTGACTTCTTGAAGAGCAGAGGCTCTTTTTCTTTCAACAGTTTATTAACTTAGATTAATTGTATAGTGTCATAATTTTCTACATGTTCATGCATTTCTCTTCACATTGGATCATCTTTGATTATAAGATATAAGAGTTTGTTCTGTATCTGTACACATCAAATCTTCTGCAGATTATACCTGTTGTGAGAGAGTAATTTCATTTTTTGATTTCTCTACATGTCCTGAAAATTGTGCTTTGCATACACATGCTGGAAAGATCTGCTTCTCGTTTGCTTTCACAGGCAGGAATAAGGTACAACTCCATGAAGGTCTATAGACTTACAATGGTATATATCTGTGTATACATCTTACCTTCAGCAACTGCCCTTCTTATATTGCTTAGCAGACCACTACCAATAATCAGTTTTGAACAGAATTCTTTGGGATGCAAGGTACTGTCATTGAATAAGGAACAAGAAAATCAGTTGTCTTACAAGTTACCCCAAATTTATTTTGAGATATACATCACTTTATCCTCTTGTATTGATGCTTAAATGCTTAAAATATCTGTCAGATAACTGACTTTATGAATTTACATTATCCAGTACCAAACTGATTGATCTCACCAAGGAGAAATCAGGATACTGTTTGTTGTTAATTCTGCACTAATTCTTATTCTTGTATCCCTGATGATATAATCATATTGATTATTATAATAGTAAAGGTAGCATAGTTAGATGGTTTCTGTTTCACATGATACCTTTGCTTTTCAAATTTCTGATGCAGTACCACTTGAATTCTAGCTGTCAGATCACAGCAAGAGTGAGTCTTCTTTAAGTATGATAAAGAATTAACTATTTAATATTTGCAACTCTTTAAAATCTATCTTGAAACATCAAGTAGCCACCTCTTGATCTGTCTATAAATCAGAGGCAGACACAATAATTTGTTGAAGATTTGCCTTTCATACCAAACTGATTATAATTTCTGCATTATTTTGTAAATAAATGTTGAAGTATATGTTCTCTGGCAGAATGCTCCCTACAGCTGTTTTTAAATTGATGGATGACATCATCTCACCTAAGCTGAGCCATCTAAAAGACAAGCAGCAACTGTCAGGAATTGTCAAGTCCGTAGAGAGCAGCAGCTACTTGCAGCATCTTTCTTCCGTAAAAGGAACATAAAAGTTACAAATTTGAAACACTGTGACTGTTGTAATGTGAGAAACTGTATGGGGCAGTTAATTTTGTCTGCAAGACCTCACTAATGCTCTTATTTGTCTCAACAGACAATACAAAGGAATAATGAGCTCTTTGCAGCTGTTGAGAATTGCCTCTTCACAAACAATTTTTTAAAGTTGTATTATTTGTGAAATAATTACTTAATGAAACAACTGAGATCTTACTTGCCTCTCTCCAAACAACTCAATGAAAAAAAGAACTGTAATATAAAGTTTGTATTTTTCTTTTTCAGAACTGTGTATGCAAAGGTAAAAGTCCCTGCTTTTGTGATAGCACAAAAGGTAGTAAGGTAAGAACAGATATATTTTCATTTTTGAATATTAGCTTATATACATGGAAATTGTTGGTAGATTCAGTTGATACAGTGAGTGAATTTAGTGCATGATGGTATTTTATCAACAGAGTCTACAGAGGATGATTGCCTTACAAAGTTCTGTTAACTTTGGGGAAACTGTTTAACTAACTCTTTTCAATTGATTTTTTTTTTACTGCATTATTATGTTTACAGTACTGTACGATGTTTGGACACCAGCAGAACAACTGCCCAAAACCACCAGGTCTCTTTCACTAACTCCTAACAAATGCCATTACCTTGGCAGCTGCTCTCCTGTTATAACTTTCATAATGCCATCAGGAGTCTCATGTTCATAGCTTCCCTCTTTCCATCTCTGGACCCTGCCTGCCCCCCTTTGCCAGTTCCTGAAAGAAAGCTGCACACACTGGCATCAAACAGATAAACTTCTTGTGGATCAAGCAGGGGATGAGTTTCTGGGTCCTAATCACAAACACCTTGCCAGCACTGAAGGAGCAGCAAATCCATCACCAGTGAAAGATCCACAGCTCTGCCTGTTGCCAATAGCAGCTTGGCAAAGGCTCTGGGTGGCTTTTAGACAAACCTGAAGTACACAAATGCCAAAAATTCTTTGGAACTCCTGCTCGCAGTTGAAAGAACAACTGATTCACAAATGAAAGGGGCATTATTGAAGAAGTCAGGGTTGCAATTTATGTGAGCCATGAACACAGAAGTTGCCATACTAAACCTTATCAACAGATTTCAGACATCTATGAAGATCTAGAATTATGATTAGTCCCACTGATTGGTCCCATCTGCTTTTATGAAGTTGGAGAAAATTTATCTGGAAGTAAATAGGCTCATTATTAAAATACACATTAATAAGTGAGAAAGAAGAATACTAATATTTTTAGTAAAATCTCCCTGTTTATTTTTCATATTACTAGTTGGTCTAGCCTGATTTTGTCCTAAACAGTGAAATTAAAACCAGTTGAAAACCTAGAAAAAAATAAGCTGCCCACTAAAAGAAAAATATTAATAAGAATGGACACCCACAACTTGTCTTTATCAGTTCCATGGAAAATAACTGAGCAATTTGTGGCTAAGAGTAAATAATTGCTTAGACTAATGAAGTTTTACATGAAGAAAATCAGGATAATGACATTAATCATCATGTTTTGGTCATTATCCAGCATTTAGAATTCTCCAGCCTGAAAATCCTCTGGTGTTGTTGATCTGCTAAGAAGAAAGTGTGGCTAAAATTGCCTTTTCTGTAGAGAGGGCAGGGAAGCTGTCAGGAGAGCGCAGCGCTGCTCTGGATTCAGGCAGCACCGCGTGGCTCTTGCCGCGGGCAGGCAGGTCGAGGAGTTTGATTTTCCTGGGAGCTGGCACCGAACCCCCTCCAGCGGCTCATCCTGGGATAGCAGTCTTCCCTACCTTGGGATGCTGGTACAGAACGCACAATAGAAATAATCTATTTTTTATAAAAAGCTATGTCGATTTATTACATAGATCTCACACACACTTTATAATGCAATGCTTATTTTATACGTGTCAAACTATTGTGGGATTACATTCTATCTTGAGAGATACAAATATATATAATTACTATTTTTAAAATTTTTATTTCATTCAGAAGACATTTAAAATCTGGTGAGTTTGTGGAATTTTGAGGAGTGAGAATTGGTGCAGGGAAAAGCCAGAATATTTTGGCTTCCCAGAGACATCTCTTGGCTTCTGTCTTGTACATCAAATAGGACACTCAAACTTTGTCACAACAAAATTTCACATGATTTATTTATTTAACTTTGTATAAAGCAATAAGAAAATTGGCTCTGAGAGAATTTATAATCCCATTCTCTCTCTCCCATGTCATGCTGCGATGTAAAAGGTCTTGAACCAGCAGCTCTTCACTGATGTAAAAATGAGCATGCTAAATTGCTGCTGTCTGAAGTGCTGAAACACCTTTTCCAAGAGCTTCCAGGCTTGAAACACTTCATTTAAACCAAGTTAAGATTTGCATCTTATATATTTAACTAAAAAACTGAAAATGCCCCTTTCACTCTAGCTTAGTTTCCTGTATTCTGTTTCCATAGCTTCAATTTTGTTTCCTTTAGTTTATGTATTTGAATTTGATCTTTAAAAAAAAACCCATGAAAAAGTAATTTGGTCTTAATCTCTGAGATTCAGAAAAATTTAAGATATTTGTCATGTAAAGCAAGGGGGTTTTAGTCTGTCTGAATGGTTTTGTTGCATTTGACTCCCACTGTTTTCTTCCTTGGCCTTCATGAAGAGATATTGATGGTTTGGAACTAATCTTGCTATACAGCAGAAGCTGCAGGCACGCAGTTTGTGGTGATTGGGATGGGGCTGGCCCAGCCTCATCCCCAGTGGGCACAGCTGTGAGCAGCAGGTGAGCAGCACTGACAGCAATGAGCCATGGAGTGCCCAGGGGCACTGACCAACACCAAAGGGAGCAGAGGGCACACAGGGGCAGGGCATCAGCATGAGAGGATAAAAGGCTGGGACAAAGAATGAGAAAGGATGGCTCTTGAAGCCTTCTGATGTGGTGTGGTGTTACTCTGTCTGGGCTGAAGCTTTCTGAAGTTGTGTGATGGTACTCTGTGTATTGTGGCTGTCTCAACTGTGACATGTGCTGTGGCATATGCTGTGACAAGCAGCCATTAAGTTTCGCAATTTGTGTTGCTAAACATAATACAGAAATATTAACAAGGAATATGTATCAGCTGCTTTCTTAAGCTTTCCATGCTGTCAGCTAGCTTCTGTACTCTGAGTACTATCTTGTACTCTGATAATTCAGCTGGAATTATGAGCATGTGGAGCCGTGTCAGCACAGAGATGGACCACAAAAACAGGTCAGTGAGGGCAAGAGCAGTGGATGCAGCTTTTCTGCAGCAGCAGAAAACCAAGAGGTACTAAAAGTAATGAATGCCTCAGAAATAAGCTAGCAAAAGGGGAATTTATGGATATTTGAAGGGTTTAATTATCTTAATGTTTGCAGGGAGAAAAAGGCTTTCCTGGTGTTCCAGGTCCACCTGGTCAAAGAGGCTTTCCTGGTCCAGAAGGGCCTCCAGGACCACAGGGACCAAAGGTAGGTATGTATGTGAGACAGAGATACAGAGAAACTACTGTGCTTGACAGTCAAAGTTAGCTATGGCTGTGTAGACAATACTGTTTTACAAAACCTGTCTTAGAGCTTCCCATTTGGTAGGGATGTTGTTTGGTCATCAGCTGCAAGGGTCATTTTGACTGCATAAGAGTAGGGCTGATATGACCATGGGCTTTTGTTGTCAGTTGTGCATTGGCCAGTGCTAAAGCAGCTGAATTAAATTGCCAGAGACAATGAACATGGGCCTAGACAGATTTTTGCAGCATACCTCAGTTTTTGTCATAGTATTGATTAACATCTTGACATTTGTTGCTAAAAAGAAAGTAAACAAGCTACTACTGAGACAAATATGAAAAATACATTTAAGAAAATTTGAAGGGAAAAATATTTTTTAAGATAAGTCTTGGTCTGTTTAGGAAATACCTGGTTGCCTGCAGTATGGAGGGAGTGGCTTCAGTGACTTGAGTTTTCTTTCTTTCCTATATGCCTAAACTGAGGCTGAATATGAATTTTCAGTAACTCCTGCATGAGTAGAACAACCAAAAAATTGTGCATTAAAAGTGTTTTATGCATATTTTGTCTTGAGGAACAGTAATGTTACTGTTTTCAATAAATTAGCTGCGGTAAATAACTTATTTTTTGTGTAAATATGGTGTGAACTCAGCCATAGTGTAAATCAGGAAGGTGCTGCCACAATCAGATTATGTCTAGGACCTTCACTAATATGGCTACAGCACTTAACTATACCTTTAACCAAAGGAGTTTTATCATTTTCATTTAAGTATTGTTGCATCATTCTGTCCTATCTTATTTTTGCAATACTTTCTGGAAGTGATACTCATGTAGATTTGACACATGTTGATAAGGCTTTTATCTGAACTCATTGAAGTGTTTAGTACAACGTTTCCCTTCCAGTAAGTGATAATAATTCTACAAGAATGGCAAAAAGTAAGGCTAATTTATCTAGCAAGATCTCTGTTGGCTTGAATTGCCATGTGTTGTAATGTGTGCTAGTTAGCCTCTCCTGTCCAATGCCTCTACATTATCAGAAATGGAATGTGGCCCAGGATTTTCCATTTCCTTTCTGGGAATGGTAAAATTTTCTTGCTAGCACTAAAGCTCTAAGCATCTTGAAAGAATTCCAGCAGGTTCTGTGCAGATGGTGCAGTGTCACTGTGGCATTCTTTGCTGGCTTCTTTGTCTTGCTCCCCCATCCTGCTTAGCCTTTTCAGCTTGCTCCTGGGCTTCCTTTCCATGCTCAGCAGTGGAGGTGAGAGTATATACATCTATCTGATAGACATCACCCATATTTGGGAGCCTTCCAGCTTTTTCCTCACAGGGAAGCACCTCCAGGTCTCAGTTTGACCAAATCCATAGAAACTGCTTTCTCAACATACATGGTTATTTGTTTGGACCTATGATGAGATATAGATGTTTTTCCACTATGAGGATAGTAGGGTGGTGAGACACTGAACAGGTTCCCCACCCCTGAAAGTTCAAGGCCAAGTTTGATGAGGCTTCTAGCAACCCCTTCTAGTCAAAGGTCCCTTCCAGCTTCAAGTATTCTGTGATACATAGCCTGTAAACACTGAAAGACACCACAATTTATGCAAGTTGCATGAAATTCTTGTTTCCTTTATTGACTGTAATAGGCCAATCATTTATTTATTTATATAGCTATGTGCACATTTTGGTATTGATATTGAAAATATTGTGTGTCCTCTTGACATTTATGGGCTCTTTCTCAATTGAAATGTACTGAAAGACATCACTTTCCATTTTTGATCTAGGGTTCTCCAGGGCTTACAGGCTTAGTTGGACCCAAAGGTATAAGAGTAAGTGTTTGTATTTTAAACAAACTTACATGTATTAAATGTCATGCTAATTGTCAACTTGGTTCAATAATTTGTGAAAATAAAAGCAAAACACTGTCTGATTTCAAAGTATGGTTAAAATTTCGGACATGGTCTGTGCACTAGTATTACTTATTGTTAGAACTTTTGCCCTTTTTGCTGCACCTTACATGCAAGGTTGTAGCTGTATGTATTTAATATTTGGGTGTGCAGTAAAAAAGTCAGACTAGGTTACCACAAAGAGTTGTTTGGTTTTTTCCTGTGGGCAAAACCAGTGTGTGTTACCTGTGTGTAACCATTATGGTTGGTTCACAGTCAGAAGAGTTAAGGGGGTAATGATCTTTTAAAAGAATCATACTTGCATTCATTCTTATTATGACTCTAATCAAAGAAAAATTGCCTAATGAGCTTTTGTTTAATATTCATAATGTTATTTCTCTGGTTTAATATCATTAGGGAGTCCCAGGAATACCTGGATTTTCAGGTCCTCCAGGCCTTCCTGTAAGTAAAAATGAAACTGATTTAACCATTTCTCTCTTACTTCAGTCTTTAGTGCACAATTATCCTCAGCTCAGTGTGCTCACTCTAGTCTCAACATCAGCATTGTCTCTGTTAATTGGCCTAGAGATAAAAATCTTGGCATCAGCAATTCTTACTCATTGTAATGATTTAAGAACACATTGTAATCTGTCAAGTCTTGTGAAACATTGCTCCAACATAAACTCTTTCAGTGTTTCCGTAAGGCAATATGAATGTACAAAAACAAAGCTTGTGTCAATTCTGTGCTTCTTTTAGGGTGAACCAGGAACTGTTGGTCCTCCTGGGCTCCCAGGTGTTCCAGGATGCAATGGCACAAAGGTACAAACCAAGCTGAGTGTTCTGGAGATTGCATTTGGCTGTGCTTGGGAATGGCCAAAAAGTATTCTAAATTTCCCCCCATTCTACAACAACTTTGACTTGTTTTGCTTTGTGACTTTATCAGCTAGAAAAATTTGTGTCATGGGACCAGAGAAAGCAGAAGTGCTCCTTTTTTTGTGCAAAATAAATACTTAAATAATACATTCTAATGGGCTTTGCTAAAAGGTAAGAATAATGTTTGATGTTTTGACAGATAATAGTTTTTTCATTCAATCCATGAGACCTAATCAGTTTTGTCCAAGGTGTCCTTTTGTTGCAGTGGGTTATAAAGGAGATAGTTAATCCATTTTATTTTGCCAGTACCTAGGTTGCAGTTGGCAATTCATAAACCCTGAAAGTAATTAAGTGAAAAGGCTCAATGTTAAGGAACAGGCTTAGCAGGTTTTCTTTGCTCTATGAGCATTCTGAAAGAGGGAGTCAGAATAATGCCTACTACAGAAACTCATCAATCTCTAGAGAAACTCTGAACTAATCTGAACAGTCTAGGAAAGAAGTCAAGCTGCATAAAATGGAAGAAAAATCCTCTTCTAGCAAAATAAGGTGGTCATGAACTCACAGTGCATTTAGTGTTATAGCATAGAAAACTTCTGTGATGATTTGACAAAATCAGGCCAAATAATAAACCAAAGATGCATTAACAATCGCTGTTACTACTTTCAGGGTGACCAAGGATTTCCAGGTCCTCCAGGTCAAAGAGGTGCTCCAGGCTTTCCAGTAAGTGTGACATTCATGATTGTGTGTGTTCCCACCACATAAAGCCAGTCCCTGAAGGAGAGTAAAGCCTCATGTTAGCTCATACTGACAACAGTTGAAATATATAGGTATCCCCATTTTATTAGTATGAAAACTGTGTGATAAAGAGACCAAAGTTAAAGGTAATACTTTGTCTGCATGTTGGGCCTCAACTTAGCTAGTGACTTGCATGAAATTCATTGACTGGAGTTAGCTCTCATGGGATATTCATGAAAATTTACCACTTACCTCTAAAACTGTCCAGGATATATTTAATAGATTGCAGTTTCAGTTGGTGCCTAAGTATCCTTGAGGAAATAATGGCTTAATTAAGTCAGTAAGAACCAGGAATTTAAACCCAGAACTTCTCACTCTGGGCACACTGCTTTAATCCCAGGATTTGGGGTTTTTTTTACTGAGAAATATGTTTGAAAGAGAAACTTTTAAACAAATGGAAAAGAAATGCTGTCTTTTGAGTTCCAGTGGTTTCACATCTAATAACTTTTAAATATTATCTTTATTTTGCCAGCTTTGCTGATTTTATTTATTCATTTATTAAGATCAGGCTTCAAAGCTGTTCTGCCTTCACTTGTAGAGTTGTACTTGTGAGACTGGCTATTTTATAAAATATGTCCTTTCTTCTTAAATGGAAGTCTGGCCCAGTAAACATGAATCTGGCTATGCACCTTCTTCATGAAAATAAACCACCTGAAGAGCACCAAGCTTAGATACTACTTAGAGTGTGTTATTTCAGCACTCTTATTTTTCTGTTTCAATATGATTGTTCTTCTTCCTAGGGAGCTGTTGGTATCAAAGGAGAGAAGGTCAGTTTTTTGCAAGACATTACATGAAATATTTATTGGTTATCCACAATTTGTGTGTATGTTTGTTGCTCTTTATATCTCCATTCATGGGAAACAGAAGGTTTACCTTCCAGAAGAAGCATCCACAAAGTTTGGTACTTCCTTTGTCCTAGTAGCATTCACCTCAGGTTGCAAAATGGTCTGTAATTTTTTTCTCTCAAACTACTGTTACTGCATGTAATTAATTTAACACTTTCAAGCACACAGAGAACTAAGCTCCTCCCCCAAGCAGCTTATGAATTCATATAAAGGTTTGCAGATGCACTAGAGAGTGTTTTATAGCAATAAAGATTAACAAAATAAATTGAAAGCAAGGATTGTGCCTGAGTAATGTAGGTATGTCTGAAAAGAAGACTGCTCCTAACAGAGAACTGGAAGGACTGAAAAAGATACATTTGGTTTCATAAAGTCTTTTTCAAAGGTAGAACTTATCCATAGTAGACAGTTTCCATCATTATGCAATTCTGATGTTGCTTATTTCCCTACAAACTATATTAGATGATTTGTTGCACTACAGAGTTCTACAGCATAACTTTTATGTTTCTTTTTATCTAATTGTCCAGGGGAACCCTGCCGAGGGATATAGCCAAGAGTATGGTGCAAAAGGTGATCCTGGATTACCAGGATTGCCTGGTCTCCAGGTAACTCAAAATAAGGAGTGCTGAGATAGATATGTATAAAAATATACGGTTATATGTATAAACACCTTCTATATAACACAAGTATGTATTAAAATTGTTTGGTATTTTACATGACTTAAGTGTATTATTTACTTAATATAGATAGAGTATTTTTTAGAATTATGTCACTGATTTCTAAACTAAAATCAGTCAGTTTGCAGGCCAGAAAAACAGTATTTCAGGTAGGGAGAAAAACTGGTCACAGATATGAGTTTACCCCTACACACATAGAATAGGATTGTTCAGTTGGAAGGGACCTATAACGGCCATCAAGTCCAGCTGCTAAAATTCCCATTGAAGTTAAGGCTGAGCAGGATAGACCAGCTCAACTTCTAGAGTACTAACAAAGGAAAGAATGGTCCATATTTCAAGAACGAACATTAACAGGGGCAGGCAGGGCTGACATTTCTTCTGACTATTGGAATAAACAGAGCATTAAATTAAAAAGAAAATAAAAATGTTTAATTTTCTATTCATTTGAAAAAAAACTTTAAAGTATAGGATTTATTGCGTAGAATATTTGAAGGATTGAAGGCTTATTAGAGGCATTAATAGGACCGTATGGATTATGAGTCCACATTTCTCAGAGGATTTACATCTTCACTTGAATGGTTTAGTTTTAGAACAGATGTTTTCTCGTGTTTCAAAACATATGCCAAATAATGAAGCAGTGAGGAAGAACTATACTTCTGTGTTTCCCTGAGACAGGAAAAGGAAATTCAGAAGCAGAGCTGATCCTCTATTTCTTATTCAGTTCATGGAATTTGGTGTTGTATTTTGCTCATAATCTTGCCAGGAGATTTATTCCTGTTTCTTTTTTAATATGCAGGGTGCCCAGGGTGCTCAAGGATATCCTGGGGAACTTGGACCACAGGGCCCTCCAGGACCTTTAGTATGAATTTGTTTCACTTGTTACTTTGAGCTTTGATTTCCCCTAAACCCTATGGAATTACACAGATACGGGTACTTGACTCTCCCAGACTTATTTGAGGTCTAGACACATGTGTATGTAAAAACTATGTTTTTCTGCACACTTTTTTTTTCTGGTTTATTTTGATTATTTTTATGCATGATAATTTCTCTATTTTCAGAAACATCACTTGTCCATGCAGGCATAAATTTTAATTTTCAAGTAACTATTAATTCACTTTAAATACTGATATGCATAACATTGAGAGATGCATATGTTTGCAACTATACTGTGTACATAATCTGTCACCCACTGACAATGGCTTGCAGTTGTAAAAGTGGAGGAAAGAGTAAAGATGGGATAGAAGTTCTGTGGAAGTTGGGTACTTCAAAAGACCTATATCAGAGAACAGGATTGTAAGATTTTCAGCTGAGGATTTTTTTTTTTTTGTGTGTGTTTTGTAGGGCATGCCAGGGAAACCAGGACCTCCTGGACCTAAGGTAGTCTCCGACTGGTAAAAAAATGAAAACTTCTGTTTTGTGTAACATGAATCAACCCATGTTTAAGTGTTTGTAAAATTTAAAAAAATAACATTTGGGGATTTTTTTCAGGGTCTTATGGGACTGAAAGTCATAGGAGCCAAAGGAAGGAAGGTAATTTCATAAGAAGCTTTAAATATTTTATAAGTTGTGTTTCTGTTTTCTGCATTTTCTGATTTGCTATGGTGAAATGTTTGGGGAAGTAAGTCCTGTAAAATGCAAATTTTCAGTATATATGTGGGAGTCTTTTGTTGAAAAGTGGAAACATGGCAATGCTTTCTAAGGTCAAAGTTTTTTCACATAAGAGCCAATGAGATAAATGTCTAGACAGAAGATTAGACACTGAAGAGAAATCAGTAATTAATATTATTAACACATAGCATTAAACTAACATATATACTTTGCATGGTGTTCCTAAATGCTTATCTAAGCAGATAAACAGTGGTAAATATGTAGCATTTGTAGTCTCAACTTCTGTCCAATGTATTTTCAGTATCAGCCCTTGTGATGCTAGCAAAACCTCCAGGTTTTGAATAAAAATTGGATAATTTCTTTCATGTACTTCCTTTGTATTCCATGTAATTGACTTTAAACCAGGAATTACTACAAATGCCCACATTGTCTCACAGCACCCAGCCTGCAGCTGCAGGACTACTGTAGTTAATCTGAATATTCTTGCAAGAGATTATGGCATCTCACAATTATGCTAACTAACCTGCACAGATTTTAACATGGTAATCACTACCAGGAATGTGCAAGGAATTTCCTGGGGTGGGGGGGGGAACCTATAAACCTGGTTATTCATTAGCAGTAGCTCAGGTGAGCATGGAACATCTTGCTTCCTTATGAAGGAGTGACACATTCTTTGTTGTTGTGCTGCAAATTCATGCAAAAGCATTCCTGGCTTAAAATCACTGAAAAATGTGGATATTGTTTTGTTGATGTCCACAGGAAAGATCACACTGAGGACTTTCCCAGTTCTCAAAAACTGCACTTCACTACTTATGTTGTCAGTGAAGGACACATGAAAGCTTGTTTTGTCTGTTAGCACCATGATTCTGTGATCTCCCTGGAATACCCAGACTGCAGTTTGGAGGATGTCACCAAAGAGAGTTCATATATTTTACTGATTGATGTAATAAAATAGAGATAAATATTGTAATCAATGAGAAATTTTTGCTTGATTCAAAATAGTTTTGTACCAAATAAATAGGATTAAAAATTTAAATTATTTCCAGAAACTTTAACAGATATCAGCATATTCATTTTTATATTAATCAGCTAGGGGAAGGTTAAATCTTCCACATGTCTTTTTTACTGGAATTTAAATGGCAAACAAAGGTAAGTGTTAACTATATTATTGGCTGAGTTTAATGACAGAAGAGTTTTCATTATATCAAAAGTATAGTAGTAGTAATTTGAAATAACAAAAACATACTGCTTATAATTTGTTCTGTTTTTTTCTTTCAAGGGTGACACTGGGTTAACTGGACCCCCTGGGCCTCCAGGAACTGTTATTGTGACGTTAACTGGACCAGACAACATGACGGTACTGAAATTGTTAAACATCACATTTAGATAAGCCATCTGACTAGGTTCTACTTTGAGAGGATGTTTCCATCTTCACTGCTCTGATATTTCCTTTTACCCATCTTAATGTTTGTCAGACTTGTTTAATTAGATTCTAAGCTCTCTTAGAGTGTCTGTGTGCAGCCATGTGCTCACATGCACATCTGCTCATGCCAATGCAATGCTTCTTGCTTACCAGTACCCCACCTGCTGGGAATCGAGTACATGAAGAGTAAATCACCTCTGCTCCACCAAATCCACATGGATGTTCTACATGGCTAGTAAAGCCACAGCTGCATTGACCTCAGGGCCTTGGCACTGAGAATGTCAGACTCTGAGCTACCAGAGTTTCACAAAAGCTTACAGCATGTTCATGTACATTTTGTAGTTTGTTTTGTCATTATTTTTACTGAAACCTGAGTAATCATGGAAAGTGTTGGAAAGAAAATAAATATGGAAGGAAATAGTCTGATTCAGCTTTAAGTATTGCTTTGTGAATTAAATTTCTTGCATTGTATCCTTATATAGGAATTAAACAGCAGTAGCTGATAGAATTATAAGTATTCACATATTAACAGGACAAGCCTTCTACATGTTCTTGATTCATTTTTTCTTATGGAATTTTCATCTAATCTATGGAGTCAGCCAAAGCTCCCTCTCCATTATGTGCTGAAATAAAAATGGGTTTTACATCAAGACTGAATTGAGGGAAGAGAGAGATTGCAGAAGCAAGGTTCAGCTTTTAGGCACACCAATTCTCCCAGTTTAGATCAAATGCAGAGCACCTGGAGCACTTTCCAGTCACAGCTGTGGTGGCTTATCATGAGATAATGGCAATTTGTCAGCAACATTGAGCATTATTGTTTAGAAGCTTCTAAAACTCCATTCATATTTGGCACATGAGTCTAACCAGGTAATAGACAATGAAATTTGGCTTTACAGTGACTTTAAGACATGGCCCAGTGGTGCTACACTGTAGCATAGTCTAATCTTGCATCCACAGAGACAAGGGTGCCGTAGGTAGCCACTGCAATTATGTTTGGAAGAAACTCTAGCTCCAGTGAAGCAACTAAGGTTTATTTGGGTTTGTTGCTTGTTTCTTGTTGCCATTTGTGGGGATATTTACTGCAGTCCTTTCACATGCAATCACAGGTAGGTTGTTTTGACCTAGCTCTATTTTGAAATGTGCAGAAACATTTTTCAAACATCAGACATCTTTTTCAAACATCAGATTTACACTGATATGAAGTTTCTGCTTCTTAATCGTTTGAGTAGAACCATCTCTGCTCAAAGAATTCTGCTGATGACATAAGGATTTCCTATTTGTAGAACCAGACTGAAATGGTAAGCACAGAAAAATCCAAGACACCACAGTAAGCTCTTCTTTTCTGTATAATAGGACTTGAAAGGAGAAAAAGGAGAAAAAGGATCAAGAGGACCCCCAGGACCAATGGGGTTTACAGTAAGTGACCAGAAGTAAATCCCTTAAATCCAGATGTTCAGGCAGCATCACCTAGTGAATGCTGTTCTTTACACTAATTATTTCAACCTTTAATGACAAGAATAGAACTAATGAATGGAATAAAATACCTATTAATAGCATTCCAGCTGTATTTTTAAAATATAAAAAATTATAAAATATATATTTAACTTAGAAAATGTGAGTTTCAGAACATGAGTATCCTCAGTGCAAGTTTGTTCCAGGGGCCAGTTGGTGATTCTCAAAGTGAAAAGGGTGACCGAGGAGAACCAGGAGCACAGGTGTGTGCAAACAGCTGAATACATATGTGTTACTCCTTTCTGTAAAAGTTTTGAACTACTCTTGCTGTCCAGTTTTTGTCTCGCTACTACTCAAAGCAAATTTGCTCAGATTCAAAAGCTCTTTCCTGCAGTAAACTAGAAAAGAGCTGGAAGTCAAGAGACTGTACTTACATGAGTGCTTGGAGTGAAGGTCAGTTAATTGTGAGTATGCTTTTTTTTTTTTTTTTTGGTATAAAGGTTCTGCTGTTAAAACTTAGTAAAAAAGTGCCCTGCTAGACATGTACTGGCTTTGTAATGCAAAGGTCTAAGTAGAAGAGAAAACACTGTGTTTACTTAAGGCAGCAGACTTAAATTAGTATGTTCAACCAGCAGCTGTGTGGAGATACGAAGCAAGTTGCCTGAGTTACTTCCTTAACAGCATAATATATAAAAAATATTTAACAAAAAAAAATTAAATACAATTTACCTGATTATATCCTTTTTATGGAAGATAATTAAAGGAAAGCTATTACCTTCATTCAAATGCCTTTCAAACTTTCAGATAAAAGCTTATCAATGACAGGAGCAGGGTCTTAGTAACTTAAACTACTAATTCATAACTTAATGATAAATAATCAGGGGAGAACCCTAAAATAGTCAAAAAAATCAAAATGTTTTGCAACATTTTCTGAATACAGATTTTGAATACATTATGAAAGTAATACTAAGAAAACTAATTTTCAAATTAAATATTTAATTCAGTCCAAATGTATATCTTTTTGAAACTTTTCTCATCCTTCTTGTGGTTGCAATACATTTTCTTCCACAAGGAAAGATAGCAAGACAAGACCCTGGTACTACCTGAGAATTGTTCTTTCTTCAGTTGTATGGTGCTATAACAATGATGATGTTAGAGAGAAATTTGATTGTTATTTTTATTATTCCTATACATAAGGAAAATTTTAATTTGAGTCACTAAAGTTCTAGAAGTTCTTGCTATCCAATGTGTGTTATTAATCCTCCATGTTCTGTGTTTCTTTCACATTCTTCTGCTTGCAAAAGCCTTGTCCTGCCATGCAGTATTTTTTGCCTCCCTTCCCTTTATCTCCTTATTTTGTTATGAATTGCTCAAACAATTGTTTCTTGTTGCCACACAAGATACAGGACCCCAATAGACACTGCCAAATGGGCCGTGGAAAGCAGCAGATACCTCTGGCATGCTGCCTCCTTCTGTTTTCATTTTTCCATCTACTGCCCTGCTTCAGATACCTTGAAGTGCACTCCCTATTCCTTTTCATTAAGTAATTTCTCCCCAAGTTGTCCCATACAGGAAATGGGGTTCAGAGAGTTTTCCTTCAGCATCCTTCCGAGTTCACCAAGGGAAGGGCTGATAGCGGCTGTATTGTTTTATTATTTGTCTTGTTTCTGCAAGCTCCTGATTATTCACCAAGCTTTCTGCACTTGCCTGGCACTTTGTGCTGTTGGAGTCTGGCACAAATAATCCTCCACAAATAAACAGGAGAAGTAATATCAGTGGAATGAATATCTTACTACCTATTTTGTAGAGTTTTATGAACTTCACTTATGATCAATGAATACTTTAAAATAGCCTTAATTTTACAGTTTTACAGGATTTTTACAGTTTACACAGTTTACAGTTATGTACACAGCATCGAGTTGCTATGCTCTTTGAATGCAATATCCTCACTTTAAATTGTTTATTTTACATTTTTCCTTTGTAGGGGAAGCCTGGAAAAGAAGGTGCCCCAGGTCCACCTGGCTTACCGGTAATGAAGGAAGCCTTCTAAATGTTTTCTAAGTGATAGTCACCTGTTTATGATAGTTCTGTCTTCCTGTCACAACTTTTCTCTCCTTGTGGAATGTATTTCAGAATGTTGATTTGCATACACTGAAACATTTCCTTCATGCAGCTGGCCTTGGAACACACCATGTCCTCACAGATTTATGTGCAGGAGGAAGAGGCTCTGTTTACAGATGTCAAATAAAAAGACCTGTTGGTTGCTGCTGACTGTCTAATGAGTTTGAGACTCAACTCCAATTTTTGCAAAAGAGTTATACCTTCCCTTTAACATAAATTGAGAAGAGAAATTAATAGTTTTTAATCACTAGGATCAAAGACGTTTTATGAAGAAAAGTTATTGTCAGGGTTGTGGCTGTCTTGGCTGAAACAAGATGACTGATAGCTATTAGACTGTAATTTTGTCTTTGTTCTTAAAATATGCCATTTTAGAAGCAAAATAGTCTAATTTGTGTACTAATTTAAAAGTTGGAGTTGTTCAAATGTGTTTGAAGTACTGTATTCAATTGGTTAAGTATCAGTTCTTTTTACTTCAGCTCTACTTTCACAACATCATTAGAGTCAGTGACCTTATAAATATCTTACCAAAATTCTTACTGCCAGAATAGTCCATTGCACATGTATCTTACTAGAACATCATCTTTGTCATGCTAAAATGACCTTCACATGCAGTCTAAACACATTCCAGTCTGACAAAGAACACTGAATGACAGACCACAAAGCTCTACTGCCTCAGCTAACAGAAAATTTTCTGTCATGAAAAAGGCATGTCATTGCTCTCTTCCCATTTCAGTTTTACTCACCAGCAGTGCATTCAACTGCATGAGTCTTCAAGAAGTCCCTCTCCCTTGCCTGTATTCACTTGCAGAAAGCCTTAGTCTGCACTGTTTTCCCTCCTGGTGTTGCTGGCACCTCTTGAGATCAGCACCATCCCACAGACTGAGCAAGTTCTGGGGGAGGATGTTGAATGCAAGAGTCTTGCATTGTGTTCAGTTTCTCCCCTTCAGAAATAGTTTGCAGAGGGAGAACAGATCAGAGACTCCTACACTTGTGCCATGCAGAGCAGCTTCTCCTTGGGAATGTTACAGTGTGCTGTAATGAATACAGGTTTTGATGGAACACTTGCAGCTTTTCCTGCAGACATGGAGCTGTACCTCAAACTGAGTCTTTCACTGCAGTTTCTTCTCCTGAGCAAGTTGCGTTCACTTTGCCATCACCATGAAAGATTAAAGCTTTACATTTTAGACCTTACAGTTGTCAGTGCTAAAAGATTATAAGATTAATAAGATTATATCCTTATGAAATTGTGTACTGTCACCTGCAGGGACAAAAGGGTGAACAGGGCAAGCCAGGACTGGCTGGAAGGCAAGGAGCGAAGGTATTGTCCAACAGTTTTGTTATTGCTTTTGAGGATGAAATTAAGTTATGTTTGGAGGTTATTATATAATTTTATTTATCACTGTGTATATAATATGTTTCACTTGGCCTAAGATGGCGAGTAAGGGTATTATGGAATAAGGAATAGATCAGCTGAAACAAACCATGTGTTTGAACTGGTGTCCATCTATGTCTGCTGATGAGTTCCTGTAGGTTTTGGTGTATGGAGCTGAATAGCTGTGTAGGAACAGACACAAGGTGGTGAAGAACTGGTCAGGAACGGTTGTTTTTCTTTGAAGTTTTGAGCAATGTACTGAAGTAACAATGATTCTATATACTGTTTTTAATAAACAAACCTATCTCTGATGAAGGGGATGAAAGGAAACCCTGGTCCACCTGGAGCTTGTGGTCGAGTAAGTGTAAATTACCTTCATATATAATTTTTCTGAACTATTATAATAAGAATAATCCAAATTGCTTGCATGAGGCAATAATGGATGTCCTGTGATGCTCTAATCAGGCATGGCTTTCACAAAGTATTGATATTGCTGTGATTCTCACACAGATGAGATCTTTCATATGGAGTTCCATACAGTATCTATGCTTTGTTAGACCTCGCCTGGATCCAGCAATTTTGGCAGGAGATCAGACTGTCAAAGAACAGTTACAAAAATTCACAGGAGTTAGTATTTAAATCAATTTCTAATCACTTCTGGAACATGGGGCCTTAATTTTAAAATCCTAAGAACACTTTTTAAAGAAAGCAATTTGGTGTGAGTACTGTTCCCCTGTCTAGTCCTGCTGTCTCCCCAGTGGCTTTCCTAAAGGTCCCATGTGCACCTAATGGAAACTTTCTGCCTACATTGTTCGGAAGAAATAGCTTTGTAAAAAGGTGAAGTGTTTGTGATATTGACAGAGTACTAAAAAAACACTGCTGCGAATAAGGATTTTGTTTCTGGTTGCTTGTAATTAGTAAGGTCTTGTGGTGTCAGAACATCAAAATTATGAATGAGATCAAAACATTACTTTAATCAAGTATTCAGTGTGAAGTACTGTACTTCTCTCAATTCTTACAACTCTTTCTTTTCTTACCACCTTTCTCTTGAGATGGAGTATTACGATTATGTGGTTGGTGAAAAAGGGGATGAAGGACCCCCTGGACCTCCAGGACCAAAAGGTCAACGTGGCATGCCTGGTGAGTGGGATATCAAAATTACAATCCTGTAGTAAAAACAGTCCACTCAAAGAGCTTATTGCAGACTACATTTCCAGCAACCTTCTGCCTTTACAAGACTATTTCTTAGACTCACATGTAATTGCTGACTTGAAATGTATCCTGAGACTTTGATTTATAGCATTATTTACCCTTAAAAATAGTTGCATGAGTGGTAGATGCCTACTCTGGCAAAACCAGATTCTTATTTTAAATTTTAAGCTTAAAATGCAAAAGATCAAAGTTTGTATTCAATGCTATTGAACTGTGACTTTGTTAGAGTGGTTTAACTCAAGTTTTTAATACCTTGCTTTTGCAGGGCCACAGGGTCCTCCTGGAGCTGCTGGTAGGCCAGGTATTTGCAATAATAAAATACATTGTTCTTGCTCTCTGTTACATTGAATCAGCTTTGTCAAATATTAATTTCAGATTACTTTAGAAATATCTCTGAGTGCTAAAAAACTGTCACTCAAGAGCTTTGGTGGGTCAAATACTTAGGTAAAAATGATTTTTAAATGTCTGTAGGGTCTTACTTTGATTAATATATTACAAGATAAAAAAGATTTGTGGAATGAACTTGGTGTGTTTGTCACTCATTCTATAGAGTACTTGGATTTGAAATGCCATTTCTTTTTTAACTGTTTTTGTATTTTTTTCCCCTTTGGTTAGGTGTGTCAAGACCTGGTCTGAGAGGTCCCCCAGGATTTCCTGGGCCAAAAGGAGCAAAAGGAGAGAGAGGACAAACTGGCTTGTGTAGAGTAGGCCCTCCAGGACTGCCTGGTATTACTGGCAGGCCTGGTTCTGTTGGATTGCCAGGTCCTCCAGGAGAACCAGGTACTTCTAGTTGCAGGTGTTTTGGATTTTTCCAGGTAGCTCTCTCTTTTAAATGAATTGTTGAATATCTCAAGTTGGAAGGGACCCATAGGGATCAGAATACTGTTTCCAGCTCATCTCTGCAAGCTTTTCCTCCCTTAACAAGCAGAGAATTGTCTGAATAATCTGTGATGTAATGGTGCCGTGCTCACTTCATTAACAGGCAGAGTAACATTTGGAACTGGCCTGCCAGGACTTCCTGGAGAGCCAGGGTGTACAGGACCTCCAGGACCTCCGGGGGATACTGGCATGAGAGGTTAGTTTCAGATAACTGTCACTCAGAAGTAGAAGTAGGTACAATCTAGTAATCTTCATGGATCCTGATTAGATTTTTAAAAATTTAATTTATCTTTTAAGTAATTTGCTGAGTTCAGAGTTTTAAGAACATTCATTAGGGGTAGTGAGATGTCTTCCTCCCATAACATCAACTGAAAGAGCAGTGATGTGCCAGTGCTGCACAGTTGTACAGAGCTGTGTCAGGGTGTAGGTCTTCACTGGAACAAGCAGTTACTACAGATTGGTAGGGCTTTGTACTCTGTTATGTTCTTGCTGACATTTCATCTCTGAAAGCTGCTGCAACTTCCACCCACGGGAGCTGCTGAATCTCTTTGCCCTTTGCTTGTCATTAGAATGACCCTGAGTGTTGCAGAGCTCTGTTACTTGGAAGCATATGTCCCTTACATACTCTTAGAATCAGGCTTATCAGTAAAGTGACTGTATCCAAATTGTTTGCTAAAACTTGACTTGAAAAAAATCAAGAAATTTAAACCAAATGTTTCCGTCCCTTCAATTAATTGCAGTCAGTTCTAATTGACTTTCTGACCACAGGTAATTTAGTATTGTGTTAGAAGTGATCTTCCAACAGAGTTAAGGCCATGATTCTACCACTCCTGGCCAGAAAGTGTTAGCTATAACAAAGTAAGTAGCACATTAGTTAAGTTGAAAATTACTTGCCAGGGAGCAACTAATGATTTATTTTCATTCTAGGTGATAATGCTCGTGTGTGTACTGATTGTAGCTACATTCCGGGAATGCCTGGTCTTCCTGGTTCTCCTGGGTCTCGTGGTCAGGATGGCATGCCTGGTAAATTATCTTGTTCCTAACAGGATAGTAGGAGTGCAAATGATTTTGTTTTTAGCATGAGAGTCAGGTGTGGGCATGTCTGCAGCCTGCAGTCCTTGAACTAGCCCTGAGGTGGTGGTGAGTGTGAGACCTGAGGAAGCTCGCTCTGCTGAAACGAGCACAAGCCCTAAAAGATTGGAGTTCAGAGCACTGATAGGCTTTAGGTGTAGCCTGAAGCCAGCTCAGTTATTGGAGCTTGTCAAAATCCATGTCCTTGTTTTCATTTTTTTTTTTACAAAATATACGGATTCTTTTGCAGGTAGAGAAGGAGCAACAGGTCCAAAAGGTTCTCCAGGTTCTCCAGGAACACCAGGGCTTCCAGGGGCTCAAGTAAGATTGGTTTTTCAGGTTAACATTAAGATCCCACAAGAATTATTTCAGAGAAACCTCATGGCTAGTGCTATGCGCAGTGTCATACTGGGTGATCTCAACAGGTTTTTTCCTGTAGTAATGAATGTGTCAGCATGGGAGGCAAGGCTGAGAATGTGATGTATAGCTCACACAGCTTTACATGAGCCTGGCTGCTCAGTGCAGCAAGTTAGCCCAGGCAGTGAGGCAGGTAAATAAAAACGTGCTGTATTTCATGGTGCTGAGGCTGCTTGTTCTGTCCGGTATGGGTAGTCTATAGTTACCTTCTATTCCTTTATATAAATCAATAGTCATGGCAGTGGCTGTAAAGCATATATGGATTTTTGTGTGCTGTGATCTTTGACAGACTTAGTTTCCCGCATACTCAGGAGTTGCTAAAGCCCCAGCTGTGCAGAGAAACTTGTTTCTCATGATACCCTCTTCAGGGCTGCAAAGGACACTCCCTCCAGGGAAATGTTATGAAGAGGGAAGTCTGCCACTTGCTGCCATACACATGTCATTTGGTTATGCTAACTTGTGCCTGTAGTAGTAATTATTGGTGGGAAAGTACAGCCAGTGCTGTCCAATAAAAAATCATGCACAAGTATTTGTTGTGGTGGTTGCTGTACAGATGCAGAGTGAGTCTGCTAACAGGCTTTGCCAGGAGTTTGCTGGAGTTCAGAGTTCATGAGCCCAAGATCACTGGAGCCCAGTGTGCTTTCAGCTGGGATAGTGTACCCACTTTGTAACCTGTGAGGGAGAGAAGGAAGAGGGAAGTTAACTATGAGCAGAGCCAGCTATGGCACTTAGAATATCCCTGGGGAAATATTCCAGTGTGGAGGAGAAATCTCTAACTAGGTCTTAGAGTCCTTCTTTTTGTGCCATGGTTTCACTCATTAAATTATGCTACATTATTCCTGTTTGTAGTAGCATAAATGAAATGGTAGTCTTGTCAAAAGAAGTAAAAGCAGGAGAAAAAGAAAAGACAAAAACCCCCCAAACCTTATTTATTGAAGTATGCTATTACAGAGAATAAAAATTAGAACTGGGAGCACCCCTCTGAGGTATTTAATTCTAAAAACAAACTTGAAAACAGATGTCATACATCTAGCACTGAAGTTCTTTTGATAACTCTATCCTAGGGACCTCCAGGTTTTAGAGGAGATCAAGGACGTAAAGGATCAAAAGGTGAACCAAGATATGTACGTCCAGAAGGGCCAAAAGGTGAGCAAGGAGATCCAGGAGCCAGGGGAGAAAAAGGAAGACGAGGTTCAAGTGGATTTCTGGGAAGACCTGGCTCTAAAGGATCCAAAGGTTCTAAAGGTGAAGAGGTGAGTATGCACTTTTTGCAATTAATATGGAAGTAATGGAAACCTAAGTCTGTATTTTATCTTGTACAACAATCTGTTTAATCTACACAGATATTTTGGCTGAATATCCCCTATCTGACTGAGGGTACTGTCCTCAACTGTAACAATCAATATGCATGAAAGGAGAGGAAATGTTGTAATGTAATACCAGAGAAAGATGAGGCCAGTATAGGTACAAATTGCTGAGAAACCTTAGCAGTCTAGTGAGATTTTAGTTTGGATATTGATACTGGAGAATTTTGTTGGATTTCAATGATGGATAAAATCTTTTTAGAAAGCATTTTCCTGACCACTTACAATGCTTAATAATTCAAGTACTTCCTGTTCAGTCTTTATGGGTTAATCTTCAGTGAGAACTGACCATAAAACTCGAATTGTTAGGACAGAGTCAGCAGAAACAAAAACTAACAATTCTTGTTGTATTATGTTGGCTGAGAAACTGTTAACATGATCCAGATATAAATGTCTCTAAGCATTGAATCCCTGGAATTCAAGGAGAGTCAGAGCTTTTGTGGGTTTGATTTTTTGCTAAATGTGTTTCAAAACAGAAGAAAAGTGTACAGTGCAAGAACACAGTGATTGGGAAAAGTCAGGCAATTGTATTTATTTGTAGTATTTCCTTCTTAATAGCCATTTGTAACCATTGATATTCAAATTCATATTCACTTAATCACAAGCAAAAATTTTTCCTCTTATTTAGTTAAATTATCAGAGTTAATCTGTTACTAAAATAATACAAGATTATAGTCAGAGAAATGGGAATTTTGTTAAGAAAACTGGTGTGGAAAGCAAGTAATTCTTGGTGTACATGTGTAATCATTAGGGATCGACTGGACCAAAAGGAGATAGAGGACTACCTGGATTGCCTGGTAGACTTGGTCTTGCTGGAGAAATGGGACTTCCTGGACTGGCAGGTTATGGACCACAAGGAGTAAGAGGTTTTAAAGGCTCTAAAGGAATACCTGGACCACCTGGATTAGCTGGAGAAGCAGGTTAGTAACTTCCTATTTTACTGTGTTTTCCGTATGTTACGGAGTACTAGACTAAAATTGCAAAGACAGATTGAAATCAAACACATAATTTGCTAACTTGAGAACACAGCTACAAAAGTCCAGAGCTCCAGACAGTGCAGCTAAAAGAGGCATGCCAAGGGGAGCACAGAACTGCCACAATATGACTCCCTCCCCACGTTTCTACTTTGCACCAGCCTAAAGACCATGGACCTGTGACTGCCTCATCGAGGGTTAGGGATATGCCTATGGTTAGGGTTTTGAAAACTACAAAGCCCAGAGCTCCAGGCACACTGCTGCTGCAAAAGGCATCCCAAGGGGAGCACAAAACTGCCAAAACATGCCTTCCTTTACAGCTTACTCCTTTCACCCAGACTTGGTCCAGGTCTCTTTTTATAATGAAACATGGGAATCCTCTCCTTTCCATGTGACTTCTAGAATATTTTCCCAATATGTGTACCTCTGAAGATAGCACACAAATTTTGGGGTGATAAGATAATTGAGGTTGGAAGGAACTCTGTGCCATCTGAACTTCATCTCAGCACTGGGACTGCTATGAGATCAGACCCATTTGCTGAAGGCATTATCCAGTTGGTCCTTGAAAACCTCTAAGAGCAGAGACAGCACATTTTCTCTGGGCAATGTATTCTAGTGCTTGAGTCACTTCTCTGTAGAAAGAATAACTAATCAAATATCCAGCCTGTTGTCACCATTAGTGTAATCTAAGTCAGCAGGTTAAATATAAAGGGCATAATAATTTTTGAGTGCTGGAAACATACCAGTGGAAGAACTCAGCTGAGTGGCAGATATAATCAAGCCTGCTTAAAGATAATGCCCACTGAGCCTTTTTGACCTGGAGCTGAAGATTTAAGCACGTGTCAGTTGTGTCATTTTCCTGGTGACTTTGTGCTTCTTTTTCTGTGCCTCCCCTAGACTGCAGGAGAGCTGAGAGCAAGACTGCAGATGTCAATAATATGATTTTACTTAAGTTAGGGTGTGAAGGCTTTTCAAAATCTGTTGGAGTACTAGAAATATGGCAACTGTAGATGATTACATTTTTAGCCAAGTAGATTGATCACTCATATTTTTAAATGCTTGAGATTTCCAAACTATATGCCTTTGTAATATTTTATAATGTATTTGCTGAAGGTATGAAAGGAGAGACCAGTAGGGCAACTCCATTACCTGCTTTGCCAGGACCTCAGGGACCACATGGTTTACCTGGACCCCCAGGAGTGCCTGGTGAGTGCAGCACTAAATCAGTAAAACAGTTAAAATCAGAGATTGGTTAATTGTAAGGCATCTTTGTTTGGATTTTGTAGAACAATAGTCCTTAAAACTGTCCTGAACAGCACAGGAAGTTTTTTTAAAGTTTTATGGTAGTTTGTTTTTGTAGTTGCTTCTGTTTGGAACTATAAAGTGTTTGGAACCTTTCAAGACGTGGAAGATTCATGTCTGCATGTAGCTGTTTCTAGGAGTCTGGAATTTGGCCAGATTGTACAAAAACACACAGACTCATAAATGCTTTGACACTGTGAATGCAATTAGCACTTTAACTGTGAAAACCTGCAGGGGAGAACTGGTGTCTAAATTCTAATATAATCTACAGTTGTGTCCTTATTAATAATAAAATATAACACACATAATCTTACAAGTTGATGTTCTGTGGTAAGATAACTCACAGTTTATTTATTTTCTTTGGGCAGGTAGGGTTGGAGCAAGAGGTCAGCCAGGTGATCCAGGACATTCAGGACCAACGGGTGACACAGGCTTTCCAGGGCTTGGGTTTCCTGGGAACCCAGGTCCAAAAGGTAAAATACTCTTTTTGATCTTAAAGCAAAACAAAAAAAAAAAAAATTTAAGTACACCTTAAAATAATTAGCAAGTTAAAAAAAGAAAATCAATTAACAAACAGATAAGTGTTTTTAGCAGTTGTGTAATTTACTGCCTGAAGTCTTAGAAATGGCAAGTTTGAAATATTTTGAGGTATTCAGAGTATGAAGTATCAAAGCTGACAGTAGGAAAATATTTTTAAGGACATTGATGCTTGCTGGAATACTGCCCAAACAGGTGCAGTTATCTCCTCTGAGTGCTGTACTTAATTCAGATGGATTCTCTTTACCTGGATATGTGTTACAGAGACAGAGCTGTATAAGTGTCCAAGTACTTTATTTTTAATCAGTTTTGGTTATGTATGATGCAATACCTGCCCTAATACGCAGGTAATAGAAAGCATTTTCAATACTGTAAATTTAGCCATTCCTCATGCAAAGTTATAACTCCTCTTGAACCCTAGCAATACTAGGAAATTCTCATAATCCTGTAAGGACATGAGTAAACAAAAAAAGCTCAGATACTGAAACTTGTACCAAGCTGCTTGCTAAAGAGAACAGCAGGAAACTAACATCAGAATGGCTTCACTTGAAAAAAAATGGTGACTTGCTTCATAGTCAGTTAATTAACAAGCAGTGTTTCAGTCAATTTTGAGTGACTCTGTAAGGAACAAGATGTCATGTGTCACATTAGCTCTGAAATCAAGATCCTCCCTTCAGCTCATGTAAGCTGCATTAGTGTCAGAGGCTCATAATTGCACACATGCAAGGACCCTTTTGTAAAATAAAGCATCTGTACTGCCATTTAATTCCTTTTTGCAGGAGATAAAGGACTTGCAGGAGGCAGAGGGCCACCAGGTTGTGAAGGAAAGACTGGAGATCCAGGCCGAGCTGGAAACCTAGGACAACCAGGACAAAAGGTTTGGTTAGAAAAAAGCACAAGCTTTTCCATACGGCCCATTCATTCAATTTTATACTGAGCAAATAAATTAGAAATTGTAAGGAATATAGCAATTCGTCACTTCTTGACTTGTCATGCACAAAGTATGAAATTTAATTCTTTCTATAAAAAGGGGCTCAAGCCAAAATTTTTGATCTAAATACAAGATTTCAGAATTCGAAGTGTTTGGGATGTTTTCCTACTTCAGCTTTCAGACCACAAGGAGGATATTGCATTGCTTACAGCAAAAAAAAAAAAAAAAAAATTAAGGCCACAGCTGCTGAAAAGGTGCCTGTTCAGAAATCCAATTAAGCATATATTTGATGGAGGTAATTGACAAGTAAGTATGTATTTAATTTAAGCAAGTGCTCTGTTAAATTGAAGCATGAAGAAAGAAGGTTGGAGGTAATACTGCAGCCACTCTTGCTGATTAACAAAAGCTAATCTACTGATTATTGACTAGTCTGTAATTAGGATTCAATTTTTGAACAAAATATTACCACCTAAATTATTTGAACACCTGGCATTTCTTTGTTTGTACCTGTATGTCATTCTTTAGTGTGTTTTTTTGATATGACAAAGGAAGGCAGTTGGGGTTGTGAATTTTTATTTTTTAATCTGTACTTGATGCCACAGAACATCTGGATGTGAAGTGGCCTCTGTGGTCCAAGTATATCATTAGTGACTGGTATAAGCTCAGGTCTACTGATATGCTTTATGAACATATTGATTTGCTGCAACCAGCAGTTCAGTAGCTAAAAAACCTACTAATTCAAAGTTTCCAGTCAGGGAATGTACTTGGGACATTTGTGATAAAAGCAGTCTTCATGGACAACAATAATCAGAAGAATGATTTAAAAAAACCCCAACAACTGACTGAGTATCCTGGGGCATATCTGGGTGCTGACCCTGATCATTCAAATAAATAATTTGATATATAATACATAATTTTATTGTATAAAAATAAAGGAAATGTTATAATTACACAAACTTCACCCCGACTTTCAGAGAGATGTTCAAAGCTATTCACAGCTGCAGAAGGCATCTCAATGCAGTAAAGACCAAATGGAGGGAAGTGTCTTGCATTGCTGAGTAGTAACTTCTTAGGTCTAGGAGACCTAAGAAGTTACTACTAAGTTTAAAAGTTGTCTAGATTAATTACTCAGCTAGCTAATAAGGAACATCCAGTGGTCTGCTGAATTGAAGCCGTTAGAAATTATAGTGTGAAACATCCAAAGGGAATTAAGAGAATTACCCTAACAAAATGAGGTCATTATTACACTAGTGGAGAAAATATTTTGGCAGATCTGCAAAGCAGAGAGGATTGTTTATATTTCTCTCTGTGTTGCAGGGTGAGCCAGGCATGGTTATTCCTGGAGAACCAGGAAGAATGGGTTCACCAGGAGGTCATGGCAGTCCTGGCTCAAAAGGTGAAGGTGGACTTCCAGGACTCCCAGGCCTACCAGGGCATCCTGGGCATGATGGTGATGATGGCCTAAGAGGTAATGTTGCCAGAGAAGCTCAGAGAGCACAGTACATTATTTTAAGGAAAATCAAGTCAAACAAGGTTCACTGAAAGCCTAAAACTTAATTCAGCTGTGAATCCACTCTCATGTCTTTTAGGAGATCGTGGCTCACCTGGAGTTCCTGGAGACCCAGGTTTTCCAGGGAAACCTGCTGAATGTCTTATTGGCCTGCCAGGTTTGCCAGGTGGCCAGGGAGCTACAGGCCCACCAGGTAGGACTTTCTGACCCAAAAATGCTATTTGACTGGGTGAATCTCTTTTGTTTTGTTTCTGCCCTCCAATGGCCTGAGGGAGCTGAAATTGTTTCTGGATGTTGGTATGCAAGAAAATGAGAGTCCATTTTAAAGATGTCCTTTCTGTAGATGGGAGGAAGCACATGCACTGATGAAGATGGATTAAGATTCAGATTCCATTGGGCAGTATAAAAGGTGATCACAAACTGACCCAAATTCCACATCAAAAAGGATAGCTATTTCAGTCATATCTCCCATGTGGGACTGAACTTAGATTCTGTGGTGCAATGGGATTGATAAAGAAATAAGTGAAAGGAAGAGCTCAACTAGGTAGGAAAATAATTTAGGGTGCCAAAAGTACCTGCCTGTACTGCATATGATTTTCTTTTCAAAAAAACACACTCAGGTATACAGCACATTCCTTCTCCTATATATGATCTCAAAAGGATTTTTAAAAATAGAATTTTATAAAGAATAAATGCAAAATTGATGGGGTTTTCATATTTGGGTTTTTCTTCTTTTTCTGGGAAAGAACAGATTTGTCTACTCTCATTTTTTTTCCCTCCTTTTCAGAAATCCCAACCTACAGCCCTCCTAAGATTTTCTGAATGTATTTGTTGCCTTACAGATCTCATATTTAGCCTCAAACAGGCAGAGTTCAAGGAGAGTTTCATGCTTATGATGTAAAGATAGAGATGAAGTTTGTTTTTCAGACAGATCTACCATACTACACTGTCCTGCACTTTTCTTAGGAGGAAGAGGTTTACAAGGTTCAAAAGGAAACCTGGGTGCTCCTGGATTGAGTATCCCAGGAATCTATGGAAAGCCTGGGGAACCTGGATTTATAGGTCTTCAGGGAAATATGGGATTACCTGGTCCCAAGGGACAATCTGGAAGGCCAGGAATCTCTGGTTTGCCAGGTAAGGTTTCCCCAAGTATTTGTTTTGATGTAGCAATTGAGTCTTTGCAGAAAGGTGTTTTGCAAAAAGGTAATGTTTTTCTAGACTGAAGATGCTGAAATATTTTTCCAACAACAGCTTTCGCTTATAATTGAGATTTTTATGAAAAACTAATTAATCATTCTTCCTTAAAGGAAGAGCATATCTTGAAGCTCTCTTGACACAGTGTGGAATTTTCTATAATAGTCTTCTGAGAACAGTGCTTTATGTAGTTTTTGTATGTCCTTGCAGTAGGACACGAAATAGTTAATATTCAAAGCAACTCCCCCAGCAAAATGGAATTGCAAAGTGTTTAGTTCTTACTCAGCATCCTTTTTCAAATAGTTTGTAATGCCAGCTTCTTTTTCTTATAAGCTCAGATCTAGAATCTGACAGAGTTGAGTCAGATCAAGCTCTATCACTAACCAGAGCTAACTTTAAGTAAGCTATGTGGTCCCTGTAGGGTTGATTTGTTTGGTTTTTTCTTTCAGAAATATGTTAATTTGTTTTGAAGAATAAAATATATCAGTCATATAATGCTTCTTATTTCTAACAAAGATTTTTCTTTAAAATCAAATCATTACACTGTGGGAAGGAGATGGTACATGCCTTTTTATACTGAGAATCTGTAAAGCTTTTGATAAACATGTAGCACTTGACTCAGTTATGCAAACGTAGACTTCTGGTGGCATTTGAGGGAGTTGTTACTTCCCAGCTGTTCTTTGACTCCTGAGCCTGAAAGGAATGTCATTCCCACACATCTCGTGACTGATCTCTCATCCCTGTGTGGGTATCTCAGATGCATTATCCTTACTGTTAGTTATTTAATTCATTGGTAGGAGCTGTTGCAGCTACTAATTTAGGTAATTTGGGGGTTATAAGTCATGATTCTGTGGTTAAGGATGGGAAAACTGGCTTGGACAGTTACAGAAATGGAGAAAAAATAAAATAAGCAATTAAACACTGAAATGACAGGTGTATGTGTAGTTTTCTGAAGTAATGTTCTATTTAACTGATTTAATGCTAACAAATATGTTCCTATTGCTTCAATTCCACAGGGGCAAGGGGAGATCCAGGAGTAATGGGACTGTTAGGAATTCCTGGACCCCCTGGCATGGTTGGAAGACCAGGCAACCCTGGTATCCAAGGTGAGTGTCCACTTTATCTGCCTTCCTTATCACTTACAATACAGGAATTTCAATGCTCAAGTTAGTCTTGTGATCCATTTTTGTGTGTATTAGTACAGATGTTGTACTGGAATTTCTTTGAGTTTTGGTAAATCTGTCTTCTACATATGTGCAGTCTGCAGACTGAAGGGCAGCATCATATTTTTTAACGGTTTTGACTTGCCACCTTTTTCTTTTTCATTTTTTAAGTGGCTGGTGATTTACTCAATAAAGAGCAGAGCCTTTCTGCTGGTTTTTTCTCCTCTTGTGTGAATACCATTATTGTATTTATTTAACAGACACAAGATTGTATGTTTATTCACTATAAGAAATAATTTCCACATCTTGCTGGAAAGACAAGCATTACTTGCTACAAGTAATCTGTACTTGTAGGTGTTTTGCTGTTGATTGGAGCATTTAAGAAGCTAGTTTAGATTGTTTTGCAATGTATATTTACATATGTCAATTACAATTGCTCTTGACGATTGGCATTATCTGGTTTGCTTTATTATATCATCTAGTCAGGTCTCTTCAGAAAATTTCACTCTATTTTCTTGCAGGTTCTCCTGGCTTCCCGGGAATAAAGGGAAGAAAAGGATTTCTTGGAGAAAAAGGTGAACCAGGTGATAAAGGTTTTCCTGGACCATCTGAGACCTTGGTTGGTATTGGGGACAAAGGAGAACAAGGTTTAAAAGGTACACATTCATTGTTCTGTCATTAAAACTAGCCGGGGTTGTCATCTGTTTTGCAGTTCTAGTGAACTCTAAAATACAGAATAAACTGACTCTACTGCTGAGAGTACTCACTGTGTTTTGAAATAATTATTGCTAAACACTAGAACTGCCTTCTCATTTATGGAATAGTTGGATATTACATTGAATATTCAGTTCAATTTTAGGAAGCCCTAATTCCTTTAAAAAGCTCTTATTTTCTAAATAATATATCAGTAGTACCAGGAGGTTTCTATACATATATGCTAGACATTGATGTTTTTACATTTTTTTTATCCTGTGAGCACAGAAATGGCTGCACTTACCAACCAGATGCTGGATAGCAAAGACATTAAATCTGCTCAGAAGTACTTGACTGCCAGAAAAACTCCTTCGTTTGCAACATTAATATGGACTCTATATGAGCTGTAGATGCTTAACTAATGCTATCTGGCTTTTTCTATTGCTATTTTCCTATGGAAGCTTTCAGGAACTTCCTATTGCTTCCACATGAAAAATACAGAAGGTGTTGGATTTGAGTTTGTGTTTTGCTTATGTGTGTTCAGAGTGAAAATCTTGTGCTCTACTTCTGTTTCATTAGCTTAAAGAGTTATAGAATGTTAAACTTTGAACAAAAGTTATGTTCCAAGATGTTGTTTTGCAATATTTTTTAAATGAAACTTCATTTTAGGAGTTCAAGGCCGAATGGGTGTAAGGGGAGAAAAAGGAGACCTTGGTGTGCAAGGTCCACCAGGTGTGGATGGGTCTGAAGGAATGCCTGGTCCACCAGGTATGGAATATGTATATTGAAAATCCCTGTGCCACATGGACAGGGACGTACTTCTGCTCCAATGCGCACCAAATTGGCTCCAGAAGCAGCACTACATTCTCTCTATTAACTCTCAAGCTTTCCTGAGAATTCTGAAACTGAGCAATTTCAAAAGCTGCAGTTTGAAAGTCATAGCAGCTATCACCAAATGATTTTGTTTTCTTTTATACATAGACCATTGTTTAGGATGACAAATAGAAAATGACAATAAAGTCTAAAAGCTGATGAAACCAATGAATAAAAACTATTTTTTCTAAAAAGCAAAAAGAAGTTTGAGTTTGCAATATTATTTAAAAATTAATTATTAAATATTACAATTTTGCACAAAAATATTTTAGGATTTCTTTTTATTTCAGATAAATTATATTTCCCTTTCCAAAACTTAGATATCTGACTTGTATTTCAAAAGTTAGCAGATTTCCAGTGAAAAGTAGCTTTAAAAATGTCAGGCATTGGCACACTGGCATTTAGAATGAATGTCCACAGAACATTCTAGATGTATCTGGATCTTTTAGTTATTAAACTGTTAATTTAGCTAAATTAATCTCAAGATAAGTGAGTGAGGGGAAAATTGCTTAGGTCACACTCAGCTTTTTACTGTATCCTAGTCATGAGAAATCTGTCATGAGTAAGTAATAATGTGATTGTTCGATGCACAAAACTAAACTGAGCTGGAGTGCAAGCAAAGAAAGGTGAGTCCAGTGCATGAATACAAATTCATGATCTTGATCACATTCAACTATAACATATTACAGTGGCTGCCCTTAAGTGCTGTGGTCACAAACCTTAATTTTAATGTTGATACATAAGGATTTGTTATTTCCTTGGCTTTCTGAAAACAATGATAATTTTATTTGTGTCTGGGGCAAAAGGTTTCATGTTGATTATCTATAAAATAATAATACACCAAAAGGTGTGTGGTAGAGGATTTTGTATCCATGACAGTTCTGACATGACATTAATTTCTTCATCTTGCAGGAGCCAAAGGATTTATGGGTCTTCCAGGGATTCCTGGAGGACAAGGATTCCCAGGTGCACTCGGAGACAAGGGGGACATGGGAATTCCAGGTCATTTTCTCCCAAGACATATTACAAATACATAGAGCTCTATAGAGGCATTTGCACAGGTCTGAGCTGTTACTATCAGCACACCACACAATTCTTAGACTGGGATTTATTCTTTAGTATCCATAGATTTACCTTCACCCCAGAATTTGCTTGACTTGCAGAATGCAATTCTCCCTCTCTATCCAAATTTTTTAATTTATATATTATTACATGCAAGAACCTCTTTTTAGAAATAAAATCACAGTTTCAATTACTTTAATGAAGAATTAATATCTGTATATATAAGCAATAGATCACAAACATGGAGTGTGAAATGCAATTATGATCCTTTTAAGAATGGTATCAGTATTGGTATTTTTCCAGGTCCAAAAGGCCAGAAAGGATCTCCAGGCTTTCCAGGACCATCAGGTGACCCTGGTCCACCAGGCTATGGTGGCTTTCCAGGTGACAAAGGAGATCCTGGGTACCCATCTGCTGGGCCTCCAGGAGAACCTGGTCCAAAGGTATAAAGGCAGTGGAAAAAATTTCCTGTTAGGCAGAGCCTTTGACTATAGAAACAGAACCAACATGTAAGCAAGAGCTGCAGAGTTTGCAGAAATAGTTGATTAATTAGTGGTAAGAAATATGAAAATTCTATTGTGTCATTACTCAGAAGAAGTTTATTTCATCATATTTCACTTCATTTGTGCAAGAATTTCTTGTTTATAAAGACGAAATATCTTGAAGTAACTTGCTTTCTGTAAAAGTTCCTAATTCATTAAGAAAAAGGATGTTAAAAAGTACATCAAAAAACTTGTCTTAGCAAATGCAGAAGTTTTATAATCTAAACTTGTACTGTTTGGTTTTGATAGTCTGGTAATATCCTTGCACAAGATTTTTTTTTCTTAGTAATGGGTACTGCACAGAGTATATGCTATGTTTGGTCATATATACATTGCTGAGAACAAACCAGTATTTTTAAGTTAGATCAATTGGATAGTTTAACTCCTCATGTTCTGGTTGTTGAATAACTGGAAGTCTTTTTACCTTTGAGATTACCTGAAATGTGTGGCTGAGGCTGTAAATTCCTCTATAAATCCTGTGATCTGTCTAAATGATTTGTTTATTTTCAGTATCAGCTGGGTAGCCCCAATGAGATTACTGTGAAAAAAGTCAGTAGGGATTCAAGGAAAAAAATGCAATTCAGTATTTTGTATAGCTGCACATTAGCTGAGGAATGAAAGTTTGGATCAAAAGAACTGGTAGAATAAAATTGAAGGGAAATCTGTGCCAGGGAAAAATCTAAAACCAACTTGGTTTATAAAGGTTAAAAATGGATCTTAACTATGTCTGAAAGATCAGTGGTATTATGAGAAGACCTTATAGTTAGTCTGCTTTGGTTTTTGTCTGAAAATCCTAATGAAATGTGATTACATGTACTTAACCCTTAAAATTGTATGTGATTTTCGTGTTCCACACTGTGATTCTTTACCTCTGTGTGTGCAACTGTTTCTCAGGGAGATCCAGGTCCCCCAGGAGTTTTGGGCAGCAAAGGAGAAAAGGGCTCCGAGGGTCATCCAGGGCTTACAGGAGTACCAGGACCACATGGGATCAGAGGGGAAACTGGAGGTGCAGGAATCCCAGGTATGGGGTACTTTTGGAGGGATGGTGAGCTTAGGACAGGCTTGTAGAAGGTAATTCCTCCAGCTGCATGGGGTGCCTGGGGGTGGCACACTGACTTACACTGACTGCTGCAAACCTCAACAGCTCCTCTGTGGTCAGAGCAGCCAGGCCAGCTTGTCACCTGGAGAACTTTTGCAGCTGGCCAAAGCAGAAACAACAACAAAGCTCTTAAACTGAGTCTGGATCTAGGGGTGATGCCATTTCCCCTCTGCCACACTTTCTTCTTACAGGGCAGTATGGACCCCGTGGAGATGCTGGTGCTAAAGGATGCCAGGGCCACCCAGGACAGCAGGGAGTCCCAGGCCCTCCTGGTATGGTATATAGCTTCTCTCCTAAATCACTGCCCTGGATTTGGGATTTCATTTCAGTTTGAGGCTTTGTTTGCCTCCTTTTAAAAAACCCTTTTCAATGTTATCAGTTCAGCTATGGGAAGAAGTTTTAATTTTGCTTCACTTCTGGAAAGCTTTTTGCCCTTTTTTAAATTATAAGTATATATTCAAGGGTCTAAAGATGTGATATGTACGCAATTATAAGAAAGGCTTAGGTTCTTTAGGTTCTACCTCCTCAAAGAAAATAATAAATAAGATATAGGTAGATGAAGAGAAGAAAACTGGAGTAACAAAGAGTTGTAGTCTGCTAAAGCAACAGAACTAAAACAGAATTAAAAATATACCTCAGGGGCAGTGTGTATATGTAGCAATATAGAGGAATGCATTGAAGGCTTTATGTCTGTGAAAATAGTGGGGGTGTTCAATCCACTGAAGTCCAGTGAGCTCAATACAAGCTACATGCTGCTCTATACCAACACAGCTACCCCTACCTTTGAAGTAGCTGAGCTAATTAAATTTTATTAAAGGGGAGTCAAATCTTCTTACTGCAAAATTACAGAAGTAAAAATTATATTGTGGTGCATTGTAATTCACAGGTGCTGTTGGAGTCCCTGGAAAACCTGGACTTGTTGGTGAAAGGGGTACTCAAGGTCAGGATGGTATGCCTGGCCCCCCAGGAGTAAAGGGAGAACCAGGTAACAGCAGTGACAGATTTTCATTCTATTTTACAATTGGCTTTTTTTTCTGTAATTATAGTGACAAGGATCATTTGGGAAGGATTACGAAGGAGCTTCTGTGGAGCCAAAGCTAAGTTTATAAGTAGAAGGTTATAGGTGGTTTTCTATGTAAATTTTGTACATGCTGTCAGCAACCCAAGCATTGCATTACAAATGCTCTATTTTACACGTGTTGTAATGTCACCTAGTCATGTCTGCAAGTCAAAGTACTGCTGTTAACATCTCTTATGGGTTTAATCTCAAAGTTTAAAAGAACCAAAATCCTTTCAGAGTTGTTTTCTGTCTTACGTGAATATAAAATAAAAGGAAACACAATGTTTCCCTGCATAAATAGTGAAAGCTTCCATGACCTAAACCTTGGGTTGTGAAACTTTTAATTTAAAAGTCACTCCTGATGTTATCAAAGTTCAGACAGATTTAGTCCTACACTGAATTCTGGCAGAATTTTACACTGAAAAATGTTTCTTTGGATGAATCAAGAAGATACTGAGAAGGCATCCATAGTATTTAGAAAGTATTCTCATGTTGAAGTAATCACTGTTTACATATTTTCTTTTATAGGTGTTTACATTTATTTTTCTATTAATAACTAAGAAAATTAAGTGCAGATTTTTTTCTGGTTTTTTCTCTGAAAAGAAAGAAATAGCTTCTTCTTGAAGAATGTACCTCAAATAAGATTGGCCAATAAGAGTTCCTCCTATAAATAACTTAAATTTTTAGTTTGTGGTTTTGTATAGAAGTGGATATAATACATTTTACTTTACATAGAACTAAACTCTACCTTTTGATTCCATGATCCCTGAAAAAATGTATGAAATATTAGAAAACTCTGTTTTCAAAAAATTATTTCAGACTTTGAGTGTAACGTGACCTAATATTTTACAGGACTGCCAGGGAGAGGGATTCCTGGTTTTCCAGGTATTCCTGGACGTAGAGGTGAGTTGTCTTTTTGAAAAGCAGCAACTTAATATTTAGATCTCAGAACCATCATCAAGTCCCCTCCTGCTTTCACGTGCTGAAGTGGCACTAAGTGTCAGAGGAAATCAAGAGTGATCCTGTGCTTTTGATCAATGGTTTGGTCCTATATATTAAATGTCAAGAGTTGGTGCTTGTGAAGTTTAGATTGTTGTAAAAGGCAAATAAAGAAGCTGACTTCTGTGGTCTTGTGAAGGTGACATACACATTCTAGAGCTTTTGAAATGTTACTGTGATATATAATTTGATTAGCAGAGTATGTTCTTATCAAAACAAGATCGTTCTGAATAACAAGCACACTTTGAGAAAGCTGCAGTGGTTGCATTTTGATTTTGTTCATCTTCCCTTTTATATTGATAAACAGAAGAGGGATTCTTCCCATTTTTTAGGTTTTACATTGTATTTCTAGTCTATTGCTGGTAGAAATCCATTGATTTGCTTTACCTTAAGAAAGTAAAATTAAAGCACTCTCAGATTGACTTCAGAACAATATCCTTTTGGAATAGTCTCATTTTGTTGCATTCATATTGATGCTTCCAGCTTGGATCTAGTTTTAAAGGATTTTTTAGTTCTGATGAACAAAGAAGCATTTATTCTACTTATTCATCAAAAAATATTCCCTTCTCTGGTCTGTTTATCCTCCTCTCAAGTTTATTTATTGGGATGAGCAATCACTGAAGTGGAGTGGATTTTTTTTAATTTGTGAAGTTTTTTAATTTAAAAAAGTGATGTGTACCTTGCTGTGAGTCCTATCTTCTCAGAACTATTTTGCTTTAGGGTAGCAAGCTGGCTTTGGGGACTTCTCTGTACTAAAAACAAGGGCTGAATTCCACCTTTGCCATATAGGAAACACATTTTTGGAGTTGTCACATCACCTCACTTTCTTGACAGCCTTCCCCACATGCAATATCCACACTTTGCAGGAATCAAAGGGGACATGGGACTGCCTGGCTTTCCTGGGCCTCCAGGTGTGAAAGGTCATCAGGGAGATCAAGGACCCATTGGACCTCCTGGCTTAGTGGGGTTACCTGGATTTCAAGGCACCACAGGCGTGGCAATCACTGGCCAGAAAGGGAACAGAGGTATTCCTGGTGCACATGGAAGACCAGGTGTGTTGTTGGAACTCCTTATTTGTCTGAAAGGATATACTGATATTGAAAGTAGAAGTATTCCCCCAAGAGAGTTTCATAATTAAACAGGTCCCTTTAGCAGCTAATGCAATATTACCATTGCAACCAACATGATCTATGCAGTGGCATTTAAATTAAAACAACTCTAAGCTTCCGAGTCCACCTGATTGCAGTATCTTGCTTTCCTCCCATGTGGTCCATGGGGCAGCTAAGATCCAACTTTAACAAAGTGAGATAGCTTGAGTGGCACTTAGGGACATGGTTTAGTGAGGACATGGCAGTGTTAGGTTTTCAGCTGGACTCGATGATCTTAAAAGATCTTTTCCAATGTAAATGATTCTGTGATTCCAGACATAACAACTGGAGGATATGCAAAAGCCTGTAGTGTTAAAGAGTACTGTAAGTTCTGATCTTAGATTAAATCAGCAGGCTAGGAAAAATTTGATTTTTTTTTTAAGTGTGTATATTTCCTTGGAAATCACTGAGATGTGGTTATGGAGCCATTGAATGTTGCACTGTGTTGTGTGTAATCTAGGTGAAAAGCTGCTAGCAGCAGTCTTCCCTTACTCTGATGTTTCTGTATAGGTGCTCCTGGTTTTCCAGGCCTTCCTGGCCTTTCCACTCTCAGCGTGAAAGGAAGCAAAGGTGTCCGAGGGGCGGATGGAATTCCAGGGCCAAGGGGTCCAGCTGGTGACATTGGCCCTCCTGGTCCCAAAGTCAGTGAAAGGAATACTGCTTCTTTCTTACTGCACTGATAGACTGCTCTTACCATGAAAAGATAATAACACCCATTAAAAACCCCTCCAAAACCTCAAAACAAACAACAAACCCAAACAAGCATCCCCTCCCAGCCATTTTCACAAAAACACCTTGTAGTAGAGGAAATAATTAAATGGATATGAGAAGCAAGTTTTATGGACTTAAATGGATCAATGAGAATTGGTTTTTTTTTAATTCCTGGTATGTCATGTCTTTGGCTGTTCTGTATTACAGGACAATCTGAACAATAATATGACATTTTCTGACATGCTTAAAAGTGGAGCAGATAGTTCTAGTTAAAGCATATTCTGTGAACATAATGCTGTGAATTTTCTGAACAAAAATAAAATGTATTTCATTGTGTGAAGATGCTGCTCCTGTTTCTTACTGATGTTCTCTGTTTTGCAGGGAATAGAAGGTCGATCAGGCTATCCTGGTGCTAGAGGGCACCCTGGATTTCTTGGATTCCCAGGTGTAAAAGGTATTAATGTATTTATTATGTACACGCCTGTGTGCCAAATATAATTATTTACATGTTGAATTATAATAGTATTTGTGTATGAGGGGTTCTAGAGACACAAGGTTTTGCTGTGAAAATCAGGGTGTACACCAGGTCTAAATGAAAGCATTCACTGAGAGAGTGTTCATTGAGGAACTGCGTGGGTCCTTATTTAGGCTCAGGTGAGGAAGGGCTGACACATCAACCACCTCCATTTCAGACAAATTCAAAACAAGTTTGTCCTTAGTGAGTGATGAGCTGCAAGGACTTTGGCACTGAGTCTGCCAATTGGAAATATCCCACCACTGCTAGAAAATGTGACTTTTTGACAACCTCTTAGCTACAGAACTCGGGAGCATTTAATCATAATTACAGCACCGGGTGCTTTGTTTGCTGTAGGAATTGTTTGAATTAAAGTCTCATTTACGGTTTATCAGCAGATGAACTGTTAAATGTATTGGCTTCATTAATTTCATATTCCTGAGGGTAAGTTGAATCAGTAGCTAGCTAAAAATCCTTTTAATTTAGACAATTTCTAGTGATTTAAATATGATGTAGGCCTGCATTACTCCAGTATTCTCATTTTCAATTGCATGATTTACAGTCCCACACAATTATCATTACCTGTTTAACCTACTTGTTAGTGATCCATGCTAACTATTGTGCATTTTTAGTTTGTTCTAATTGGCAAAGTTGCCACACAGACAGTGATCTTATTTTCTTTAACCAAAAACTCTCATTTCACATATGTCAAGTCTCCTGATGTGGTATTAAAACTACTTTTAGTCAATTCTTTTGTTTCAAGCAGAACTGTGGAGCATGGTCTTAATGTAACCACATCTTTTGCTCAGTGAAAATAATCACTTATCAAATTGCTCAACAAAAACTCTACAACTCTCTTGAACTCTCTACAACACTTGAAGGCTGCAAATCCAGTGACAAAAACATGTAAGATAGAAAGGATATAGTCTAAAGTTGAGAATTTAAACTAGATTTATGGACCAACCTTCATATAGATAGGCATGACAATATCGTCTTATAAATTAAATGCACTTGATCTATAAATTATACAGTTGCAGCAGAGGTGAAGAAACCCACTTCACATTTCAAACCAGTCTATAGGCTCTGTTACCCTTTGGGAACTTTGCATGGATTATTGTTGTAGGACTCTTCAACAAGCCTCTGGAACTTTGACAGTTGTTTTGACATTTTAAAACAGACAGATATATCTTCAATCTTCTCTTTTAGGAGAAAAGGGTAATCAAGGACCCCCAGGACCACAAGGTGCAGAAGGGCCAAGGGGACCAAAGGGCCAGCAAGGTAACCAACCCTTCTCTTTCCAGTACCAGCTGACTTAGGTTGATTTATTTGGCTTGTTTTGTAGTTTGTTTGCTTTCTCTTAATGTAAAGCAATAGATCTTCATTATATTTTTGCTGCTAGGCCCACCTGGATTCTCTGGAAAAATATTCTCCATCCCAGGAAGCAAGGGTCCTGCAGGACTGCCAGGAATCCCAGGAACACCAGGTGATCAAGGAATTCAAGGGATTCCTGGACTACAAGGTGACATATTTTTATCTCTATGCATGTCTATGTGTGCTGCTTAGGAGAACACTTTGGTTTGGTGGAAAAATTTCTGCAGAAAAATTTGACATGTCTTTAAAATCTTTACCATGTTTAAAAATAGTTCTTTGTACCTTGTTAACACGCTAATATTTATAACCTGTCCCATTCCATCTGCCCTCCACCCTTGCAGTGAGTCAGTAAGTACATCCCTCAAGGCAAGCCTAAGGAATATAGTAGATGAAAACCTTCCCCATTTTCATACAACCAGAACCATGCTCAGGATGTTTTTCATTTGTGGGGAGGAGGGAATTACCACCTGTACTAGAAGTACTCTAGATGTGTTCCAGTGTGATTGTGCCTGTCCTAGTCTGGGGTGGGAAGGAATGGACAGGCTGGCTTCTTCTCATTGGCACCAGAAGTGAAGCCTGGCACAGCTGTGAGGAACGGGGAAGGAAGGAGAAGGGAGGGTGATGTGGATATGCAGTGGGTATCTGGCCACCCTTCCCAACAGCACAGCTGTGCACCCCAGGCAGGGAGCTCTTCAAGGGGACATGCCTCTGCTGAAATACATTCATTTCCTGCAGCACATTCATTTTCTGCAGTACATTCAATATTGCCTTCTAATCTTCCTGATAAGAAAGATGATGATACTTGCACTATAGATAGTGTGAAAACTTAGTAAGTTCATGTTTTATTCTACCACAGCTAGATTTTAACTGGGGATTTTAACTTTATTCTTTACCAGTTATTAAACTCTAGAATAACTACTGCCATATGCCTCTGGGGTATTTTTTTCTTGATTGCAATCTAGGACCCAAAGGAGTAAAAGGTCTACCAGGGCGTTTTGGTCATCCAGGACATCCAGGATTGCCTGGTCCAAAAGGAGACAGAGGATTTCCAGGACAAAGAGGTACAGGAAAGCAGAATCTCTCTTTGACTGGTACTAACTGAATTTACAGATAAATTGTACTGCTGATTTCTGTAAATCCTTTCTCTTACGTGTATTGAGATTATGTAATTTACAGAACACTTACAGTAACTTTAGGGACATATGTAAGCACATTCTTAGCTTTTAACAGATGCATGTTCACAACTAAAATAATAATTTACAGAAATATGCCTTGACTGTGCTCTTCTGTTATTAATCACTTCTGTTTAGTCACTTGAAATCTGTAGGTACCAGGGTGCCTTTTTATTATGTTAAAATAGAATGGAATATTTTTATTTAGGCATCACAAAATGGTTTTACTTTAAGCTTTTCTTGGCAAAAATGGCCATGGTTATTTAAAATACCTCACTATGCCAAGCTATGCAGTGTAAATCTGCCTGAGCTAAGTCTGAAGGAATTCCTACATCTGGAACAAATACCACCAGTTTTTAAGTTGTATCTTGTTATTGATATTTTTTTGTTAGTTTTCAAGCAGTTTCACTAATTTAAAAGAAATGAAAACTCAAACAAAATTATAATACTTGCAATCATATTTATTTCTCATCCACAGGACAACCTGGATTGATTGGCTTTCCAGGTCTGCAGGGGTTACCTGGATCACCAGGTACTACCATTGCTGGTCCAACAAGAAAAGGATTTATCTTTACCCGGCATAGTCAGACAACAAAGATTCCTTCGTGCCCACATGGGACATCCCAGATCTATGTCGGCTATTCACTGCTTTTTGTACAAGGAAATGAACGAGCACATGGACAAGATCTTGGTACTGTATTGGTAAAAAAATTCAGATTGCTTTCTTAGAGTCCAGTAATGCTAAGTTGTCCTGAAAGCAAATTTACAGTAAGTGTCTGAGATAAACATTGGTTTCAACTATCTGTCTCCAGAGCAGCCTGGAGTCAATTCAGGAATCATGGTTTAAAAGACACCTTTCTTTCCTGCACTCCTATATTCCCTTGTTGATATCCCTAGAGTCTTTTGAGGAGGAATTCAGTTACTTATGGATAGGTGTCTAGAATAAACCTTCACAACATTTGCACAGGGCTGACAGTAACACCACAGGATGTGAAGGAGAATCTTGTGGGTTTTGGAGCCTAAGTGGGATACTTTAGGGTGTGAATGATGTCACCAGAAACTTTTGTTTAAGCAGCTGAATCCCTGCTACTGTGTCAAGGGCTGATACCATTCAAGAAGATTGTATTATTTTAACAGATTTTGTTCTTAGCCCTTGTTTATGATATAGATATTTTTGTATAAGCCAGAAGCATTTTGCTTGTAGATAATTTTACTGAACAGACTCTTATAGTTAACTCTTTTAATTCTTCCTATAGTAGATTGAGTGCCATCGTGTGTCTCTTCTGGTCACTGCACTAAATTTAATCTCCTACTGCCACAAACCTCTCCTCTTTTGTCTTCCAGGAACAGCTGGTAGCTGCTTGCAGAGGTTCAGCACCATGCCATTCTTGTTCTGCAGCACCAATGACGTTTGTAGCTTCGCTTCTCGCAATGACTATTCCTACTGGCTGTCCACTGCAGTGGTGATGCCACCAGACATGGCACCCATTTCTGGCAGGGCACTAGAGCCCCAGATAAGCAGGTAAAAAGATAAGAATTTTAGTCTTCTGCCCTGAAACCACAGAGGCATCATAAATTGTTTTAAGTGGAAACTCTTAGGGAAGACCTGCTGGTCTCAGCCAGCACAAGCACTGACTTCATCAACCTGCTTTTTGGTTCCTTACCTAAGTATGTCAAATATTCAGTGATACTCTCAAGAAAAGTTGGAATAAAGCTAGGGTCCCACCACAGGGCCTATTGCTGCAGAGCCAGCATGAGAAGATGGCACACTGTCCTAGTGATTGCAGGGATTGTTTTCTTTAGACCCTATCATTATGGATATTAGAGACAGACTAAAATTAAATAAAGACAGCTTTATTATTTAGAATTATAGCACAAATCAAGTTCTGCTTTCAGTTCTGGATGATGCATTTACTGTAGTTGGTGAAGAACATTGTAAACTGAGCTGAAGGTTCTCAACTATGAAACACTGTTCCACAAGCGTGGCCCTTTCTAGTTGCTTGAAATAGCTGAGAAAGATGGAGAACAATGTAAGAGAAAAGTTCTAAAAGCATGAAAGTCCTAGAGTAGCAAAATCCAAGGTGGGAAGACAGGCCTTGCACTCTTATCTTCTGTCCTGCCCTCCCCTGTTGTTGCAGTCCAGTAGCTCGGCTTCAGTTTCCTCATTTAGGAAATAAAGATTACTTTTTCAAATCTTAGCAAATAAAGGTGATAGACAGAAATACAGGACTTTGAACTAAACCAGAACAGCATAAAATAGTGAGCATGTGAAAAAGGTAACATACTGCTCATTACTTTGTTAAAGGCAAAATTAAGAAGCTCAAATGTTCTGGAATTGCTTCTCATCTTAGAACGGTTTTAGTCTGGTGTTTCTAGTAGAGATTGCAAAGCAACTGCAAGGTAAGGTATATAGGTTTCCTTCAATTTACTTACCCCTCCTTAAACACACAAACCTGTGTGAGTAGTAGAATTTATAGCAAGGTATGTTTTGCCATGAGGTAGCTACCACCCTAGAAGGCACAAGTTTGTTCTGCTTTCATGTTTTCCTTCATGTCTGCACTGAATGTATGTGCTTTCTTTCACAGGTGTGTTGTCTGTGAAGGAGCTGCAATGGTAATAGCAGTTCACAGCCAAACAACTGTAGTTCCTGCATGTCCAGATGGCTGGATGTCTCTCTGGAAGGGTTTTTCTTTTGTTATGGTAAGGATATAACAACTTGAATTATTAATTTTATGTCCTCTCATTTTCATTGGTGTTTTCAGCTTTCATAGCTCATTTGTTTGTTAATGTTAATTTTTTTTTTTTTTTGCATCTGCCAAGAAGTAGAAAATAATTATATTACTTCTTATTCAATTCCAAAAGTATGTAAACAGCTATTCTGATCTGTTCACAACAATAGGTGGCAGGAGGAAAAGTGGAAAAGATGAGAGAAGTAGTAAAGGACTTTAGTCTGACAAAAATATCTGCATGCATTCACTTTCACAAGTTATGCTAAGATCTAGGAAACAGGTTTGGGGAGTGGAGTGGTTCAACTGGTCCTGAACACAAAATTGTAGAAATAAGTGACCAACTTCTATGCCAGGAAGTTCTTTTAAAAATCAGAATTGGGGCTGAACCGCACAGAAAGCTAAAATCAAAATAAATGCAGAACACTGTCTACAGAAGACTGCCTCAGCAATTTTGATATCATAATTAGATATGAGTGAAGAAAGTTCATAATGGGAGGGCAAATTGAGAATTGCTTATGGGACTAACAGTGTATTTGTAATAGGGGATGCAGCATTTCATCTTTGTTACCCATGTTTATGGGATGTCATAGGGTTTGAAAAATGAAGGTAGAAGAATTTTAAACCCCTCTTTTTTGCATAATGTAAAGTCCTTTTAGATCCCGGGTGAAGTTTTTGTTTCTCCTGTCATTTGGCCCCAAGTAGTAATAATAATAAACTTGGAAAAGAATTAGAGAATTTTTTAGCCTTTGGTTCAAACAATTTACTTGTTTCCAACATCAGCAAAGTTACATGGTATCTAACCAATTTTAAACTGTTGTAAATTATTATAGAGCTACTTTACAAGCATTTACCAACATCAAAGAAGGAAAATACCTTTTCTGCTTTTTGTTTTGGAGAAGTGTTCAGTGCAACAAAAAATATGAGAACACACCCCCTCCAATTTGGTTTATTTGTAATGTAGTTACTGTTGTACTCAACAGAACAGAAGCTTTCTAGGCTTGTACTGGTTAGTTTTCTAGGCTTGTACTGGTTAGTTTCATGCATTTTATCAACCTGAAAAAGGCCTTTGCAGGGACTTAAGAAATGCCATAACTGTTTGAATTTTCAGAAGGCTTCTGTGCTTCATTGTAAGTTTTATCAGATGAATCCACATTCATTTCATTTTGTCCAAGATACACCACAGAACATAGGGGATGTTTTAGAAAGAGGGGATTTTTTTGCTTGCTGTTTACTAAAAGCTGATGGACAAGTTCTCATCAAAATGTTTTGGTGGTTACAGTACACAAGTGCCGGCTCAGAGGCTTCTGGCCAAGCATTGGCATCTCCTGGGTCTTGTCTGGAAGAATTTCGGACTGTCCCTTTCATAGAGTGCCATGGCAGGGGGACATGCAACTACTACACAAATTCCTACAGTTTCTGGTTGGCATCATTAAATCCAAGAAGAATGTTCAGGTAAACTGTAATTCCCTGCATCCCAGTGGCAGAGGAGACAATAAATGCCTGCAAAATCTGGGGGGGGGGGGGGGGGGCTTCCTTTGTAATTCCCTTCAGGTTAGGCACCTCTGTTTGTTAGATACAGAGTCATTTTGTAGCACACAGATGTTTGAGCCAAGAATTTCAAGGTTGTTGTCAATAATTCCATATCCAAAGTCTCGTTGTCTCTCCCTGTTTTTTAAAGAAAAAAACTGAATGTTTGTGTTTTTTCTTCTAGGAGACCTGTGCCACAGACTTTGAAAGCAGGACAACTAGAGAATATCATCAGTCGTTGTCAGGTCTGCATGAAGAGACCAATCTAAATGGTGGCCACTCCTCACAGAACATGAAACTGATTTATTATGAAGAATTGCCTAACTCTGAAGAGCTATAATTTATTGAAGTCCTGCTGCATCTGGAAATAAATTTATAAATTGCCAGTGCAGCACTGTGGTGAGGTAGGGCAACAGTTTGACTTTTGTCTTTGGCAAATGACAAAGCACTTTGTTGGAGGAAGCTTATAATGGCATCTGCAGGGGCATCTGCTGAATCTTGTCATTTCTGAGCTGCATCTTCACCATAAAACTACAGCATCACCAGATCTTTAATGAAAGATGTCAATGCTGCCTTGTGTCATGTGCTTTTCAAACAGCAGGACAATCTAAATGCTCCTGTATCAACTTACCTATGTTCGGTGTTCCAAGTGGATATCATTTAAGATGATAGTCTGGCACTTAGGAGAGATAGGGTTCAATAGGAAATATTTTCAGTGCACTTTTAACTATATAATGATTCATTAAGAGTTGTTTGGTTTGGTTTTCTTGTCTAATAAACAAATATCTCCCCACGTACCTCACCCTTCCTCTGGCTGGCAAACAGGAATACAAAGGTTTTTGTACCACTGTGATTATAATGGTGCTTGACTGGCCAGAAAGGGAGCAGCAGCAGGACCTGGGCAGGCAGGACAGTGGTGGCAGGCACTGCCTGTGTGCTCCAGAGTGACTGTGGCTAAGGCTGACTGAAGGAAGGGTTGGGAAATTTTCTTTAGATTCCATGGCTTTCAACATTGATCATGCAATATTTGAGTTCTTCAATTTGGCAGTATTTGGACTCTATAATGATCACAAGCTTTTGTCTCTCCTGAAGAAAAAACTATTTATCATGTAATTTGGGATTTTGTTAGAATTAACAATTACTGTATGGCTCAAGGGCTCCCATGGCATTATCAGGTTATCACACACCCATCAGGATGTGATTCCTAACAAAATCTATAATACTTCCATTTTACACTATTTCATGTTTAAATATTTATCACAAATTGTATTCTGTATTTAAATATTTAGCACACATCTGCAAATGAAAACATTTATTCCATCCAGATAAATGTATGCATCTAGAATTTTTAAAAAGACTGATATTTAAATTATACCATCTAAGCACTGACTTATATACAAGACAATCCAACTGTAAATGAACATAAATACTTGAAAAGCACTTTCATTTGCTCATATAAATTATATAAAATTGTAGCTCTGAGGTTTTTTAAAATATATTTATAACATTGCACTTGCAAGGCTATTTAAAATTGTAATGTTGACATTTAAAATGTTAATATTTTTTAATACTTGCACAATTTATCAGAATTTCAGTATTTAGTGAAGAAGCCTTATTCATCTGAATAGTCCTGTAAATGCACCATTTTAAATGTAGGGTCTAGCAATTCAGTGAAATAACCAGGATTTCTCATTTAGATGATTTTTTTTTTAAGCCAGTGAAATTTTATATTGTTTCTGTTAAACTACTTGCATCGTGTTTGTCAGACTGTTTGAATTTTCAGTGTTAACCTAACTAAGGAAAGGTGTTGTCTGTGTTCCATACCAGTTTCTTAGATGGAGCTAACATGAAGATACCATTTATATGAACTGAATGGATATTTTAAAATCGTTTGCTTGAACAGTCATAGTAATTCTGTTTGCAAGGTATAACTGTGAATTTACAGGGTTTAATGAAGAATCTCTTTGCAGATGCACTACTGATAAGAAGGATTCATGTCCAGTTAATATTTAGTCTTTGAATCAAGCCTGGGGCTGAGGTTATCTTCCCTAAAACAATCCCATACTAGACTGTTCCATAAACTCTGAAGTTTGCTTTCAATACTCAAAGACCACACCTGTTGCTTGGTAGGTTGTTGGGGGGCTGGTGGTTTCTTCATGTCCAGTTAATATTTAGTCTTTGAATCAAGCCTGGGGCTGAGGTTATCTTCCCTAAAACAATCCCATACTAGACTGTTCCATAAACTCTGAAGTTTGCTTTCAATACTCAAAGACCACACCTGTTGCTTGGTAGGTTGTTGGGGTGCTGGTGGTTTCTTTCTTTCATTAATGCTCACTGCAGTCATCCAAACATAGAATTGATGACTGTGGAGACTTCCACATAACACTAGCTAATAAAATGCAAATGTGAGTACCTGAGGCTGAAGTCTGCTGGAAATGTGTCCAGTAGAGAATAATGTGTAAGCAGAAGGGAATGGATTGTGGCTTTGAAGTCCAAAGGTAAGTTACAGAGAATTGTCTCATAGTATAGCATATAAGGGGAAGTTATGCCTTGTTCCTAGTTTTGGATTCTGCTGCTCACTTTTTTTGTGGCCTTCAAAAGTTACTAAAGAAAGATGTTGATAAATAGCTCTAGATTTTGAGTGCTCAAAATGAGTCTTTCTTTCAAAAGCATGAAATACAACTGCAGGGACACATGTTTGTCAAGCCTGGCATAATACAAGCTAGACACTGGAAATCAAAGAAAAACTTGGGAAAAGTTGATGTTAACTTCTCACTGCAGCTGCAAATCATTTTACTTCCCTACTTCTAATGAGGATTCTACTCATTAGAAGTACTCCCTACTTCTAGTGAGGATTAGTTAACTGCTGTCTGTAAATGCTTTGGGAGCCTTAACTGGAAAGTGCTGATGAGGTGCAAGCTGTTAATATATTGTACTGAAAGAATGGATGCATGAGAAATTGGGAATAATGAGCAAATAATGGGTGCTGTATTCTGCTAAATACAGCCAAATAAAGATATTTTGACTAAATAAAAGACCCATTTCCACGTTGGCTTTTTTTGTTTTCCTTTCCAGTACTAATGCTCTTGTCCACTACCTGGGCATACAAAAAATAGGGTTATGTGATTAAAACATAGGGGGTAGGGTTTGTCTTAAGACACTTGCTCCCTCTGATCTGGACCACACTCCAAGTTTAGGACTTGAATGTAAATACCCAAGCTGGGTCTGTGCATACCAGCTTTCTTCCCACACATATTCCTACACAGGATGCTGTGGTAAGCTGGGGTTTTCCTTCTTATCAGCTGGTTCAGGGCTGTTCTGGATTCAGTATGAGAGTTTACATTGCTAACTGATAAATTATATTGCCAACACGCTGATGGTTTGGTTGTTGCTCAGTAGTGTTTAAGTCAAGGACTTTTCAGTGTCCCATGGTGTGCCAGTGAGGAGAGGCACAGAGAAGAGGGAAGGAAGCACAGCTGGGACAGAGGCCCTGAACTCCTCCACACCACAGAGCACCATGCCAGTCTGTGGACTGGGCAAATTACCTGCCAAGAGGAGGCTGATGGTGGATCAGGGACCAGCTTGGCACTGCGCAGCGGGGGTGAGCAACTGCATTGTCATCACTTGTCTTACGTGGGTTTTAGCTCCTTTTCTCCTCCTCCTTTTTATTATTTTTAGTAGTAGTATCATTATTATTACTACTTTGTTTCAATTATAAAACTGTTTTTACCTCAACATGAGTTATTTTCTTGATTCTCTTCCCATGCCATGGTGAGGTGGGATGTGAAGTGTGAGTGGCTGTGTGGTGCTTGGTACAACCAGTGTGCAGAAAGAAAAAGGCACAACCTAAAATTATTAAGAGTTCAGCTTTTTCGGGGTTTTCTTGTTTGTTTTTATTTTAAATACCAAATCCTGATAATTTACAAAATGTTAAAGAAGAGTTAAAATTGAGGACTCTACATACAGAAAGATGAGGATTACCTGGTAAGCTGCTTGAGGTACAGCTTATATTTCAAGGTGGCCAAATATAAGATCTTAAAGCAACTACTGTATCATTCTCAATGTTAGACAACTTCTTTTAGTAGGGGATCATATTTCTGACCACTTGCCTATGTAAAACAGTGCTGTTGATATTTGTGAAGAGCTGAATTAGCAAGTTGCAAGCCCTTGATCAATACATGCTTCTGTAGTGGAACTGCTACACTTCCTGACCTCCAAAACATTGTACTCATAAAAGATACAGAAAGCTCAGAGCCTGCTTCCTTCTTTTCAAAAAGTACCTCATAGACATAACAGCATCTTTCATTGTATTTTCCTGTGTGGCGTTGGAAAATTGAATTAGGCCATGAAGCAGCTCCTGGGTTCGCTGATAACCAGTTTCAGGAACGATGGTGCCCTTGGAAGGCTTTATCTCCGCTGGGAGCGCCGCGGTACGCGCTGGGTGTCAGCGGGGCACGGAAGGGACGGCTGCCACCCGCGCGTGGTGACCAATGTCCTGCGCCGGTAGCGGGGCAGCGGCGGCGGCGGGCCGGGCAGGGGCAGGGCCCCGGAGCTGAGAGCCGGCCCGAGGCGGGGCCGAGCGAGCGGGGCTGTCCCGGGGCAGCGCTCAGGGCCCGGCGCCCTGCACTGCCCCGGCTCCTGCCCGTGCCACAGCTCAGCGCATACCCGGACACGCCGGGCGGGCACGGGCTCACGGCACCGCTCCGTGTGCGGGCACAGAGCGCGGCGCTCCCGCCGGAGCCCGGGGAGGGCAGGGCAGGGTAGGGTAGAGTAGTGTACGGCAGGGCTGCGCCATCGCCGCCCGCGGGACCGCGCCGCGGGTCACCTTGCCGGGCACCCCAACGCGCCTGCGCGGCGCAGGCCTGCCCTTAGTGAAGATGGCTGCCCTCGCCTCCCTCACCGTGAGGCACCGGCGAGAACCGCTTCCGCCCGCCTCCGGTCACGTGACGCGCGGCCCTTACGGAAGCCCGATGGGGACACGCAGGCCGCGTTTGGCGGCTGACGCGCGGAGCGCGGTGCGGTGCCGCGGTGCCTGACGCGCTCCCGGCCGGGCCGGGCTGGGCTGGGCTGGCAGCGCTCCCCGGCCTCCTTCCGCCGCACGGGTGAGTACGGACCGCCGGGGCCTGGCAGCAGCGGCCCCAGTTCCGCTCGGAGGGCTCGGTCTGCCCGCGGGGCCGCAGCCGGCCCTTCGGCGCGCTCGCAGCCGGAGCCCCTTCAGCCCGTGTGTCCCCCGCTCCCCGCGGCCGCGTGTCCGCTCAGCCCCGGCCCCCTCAGGGCCCGTCCCGCCCCGGCTCCCGGCTGCCAGCTGCCAGCACCGCCCCAGCCCGGGGCCCCTCGGGCTGTGCCCCGCGGCCCGGCCCGGTGCCGGGGTCGCTGCCGGGTCGTGTGGGAGCGGTCGGTAGCGGGACCGGAGCCTGGGCCGGGGGCTCCGCCCGCCCGGGAGAGCCGCGGGCGGAGCGCCGAGGCCGCGAGCTCCCCAATTCCCCCGGACGTTATCGGCTGAGCCGCCGTGACGACCCCCATGAAGGGAAGGAAACACCTACCCCCTGAATTTCCGACGGCTTTTAATGCCGCCACAGCGCGGTGAATAGTTGGGTGTTCCAGAAAAATGGTTGTCAGACTGACGTTCTTCTTCTAACGTTTTCCGGTATTTTTTTCCATATTAAAAAAAAAAAAAAATTAAAGGATTTTGTGTTAAAGCATTCTGCTGGAGTAAAACAAACTTGAAAGAACACAGTCTTTAGTGCTTTGTGATCTATAGCCTCGCTCGTGTGTCACAGGTACATTTTGTTGGTGTCATCCCCGTGCTGAGGCGAGGGACCAGTGCATGGTTTGAGTTCAGCACCTGTCAGTACTCTGCAAACAGCTCTGAGCCTTTAGCCTGCGCCTGCTGCTCCTCTCCCTCAGATTGTTCCCCTCCTGCTCTGGGAGTTCACGGCCTCTCTGATCTGTGTTCTGACACTTACAGGGCCCCAGAATAAGGTCTTTTGGGTCCTTAATTCGCATCCTCAACTTTGCTCTGAGTCTTCCTCTTCCCCCTTTGCCTTGTCCAAGGATAACTGGATGCTTGCCAAGGGAACACTTTGTAGCTTATGCGCACATGGAGAGAGGATCTGTGAAGTAGCCGCATCAGGATCAAACAGTAATGGAGCTGGAGAAGCTGCAGTTTGGTGTGGGGTGTAAAAACCTCTCTGAGCTCAGTGCTGACAGAGCTGTACTGTTACCAGAGCTCATCTTCTTGTATCTGGGGCCCCACGCCGTGCAGAACATTGCT